ATGTGTCCAAGCTAACTTTTGACGTAAGAAAGTTAAACTAACATAAGTAATTTAAACTAACTAGCATAAGTAAGTTAAAAGTAACCATAATAATCGTCTAAGGCAAACGCACCAATAACTTAGTTGACACTTAAGGTTAAGAATGAAAATGAAACAATAAATTTCTCAAATACGTTATTATGTTAAGTTATTAATTAAATTTATGAAATGATTAACTTACTGATAAATAAATACTAGGCCTAAGTAGAATTTGTACAATCACTTGTACATTAATCTATAAACTCTTTATGTTAGTAATTAAAATCAATTTAAATAAACAAAATCATTTTTAAATATATTAACTTAACACTTAGCAAATGTATCAGTAGGCCTGGTTTACAAATGAATTTGTGAATTTTAAAAGTTATCAATATTTGACATCTAGCATACCAATAGCTGACACCCAGGGCACCAGTAGTTAACACTGTGATTCTTTTAATTATTTTTATGCAGGCTAGACCTGCACTAACTTATATTTTTGTATAGGCCTAGAAACTAGTCTTCCCTCACAATTAATTGTTTAATTTTATTATAAGTCTTGCGTTTATACTTAAGTTAATGGCTCAAACTATCTTAAGCTAGGCTGTAAAAAAAAGATTGGCCTTAAATATACCAATCGAAAAATAAACAGCATTATACATAGGCTAGGCCTAAACTTAATTCTACAATTGGCTGTGAGTTAAGTTAAGTAGCCTATGATCCTATAATTTTGTTTTGCAGCACTAAACTTAGCCACATACAACCCTACTGTCACATCTTCAACGGTCTTCTGTAAGTTAACTTTAGTTTGCTCTTACATAAAGAACAATTTTAACTAATTTAATTACCAAGGAGGTAATTTAATTACGAAGGACGTGACCGAGACTAGCGATGTGTTAGTTAGGTTAACCTAACCTAACCGGCCAAATGAAATAATCGGTACGGTATATCAAAATGGCTAGTCTAGGCCTATAGGCTTATATAGGCTAGATATTTTCCATTTGAATGAGTGTAGGACAGAGACTAAAGTGCAGCCATAAGTTAAAATAAAGGGTTTGGCTTACACACTTAAAGTTGACAGGACATTTCCCAGTAGATGACACGTCAACCTCCGTCAACTAAGCTGAATAACCAAAATATCGCATAATATTCCTTAAGTTAATAGCCTAGGCCCAAGATAGTGTTAGGCCTATCACAAACATCTTTAAACCCATCAACTAGTATACTTACCAATACCAAAGCTTGTGTTAGCTTAGCTGTACCAGTAGATGCCAATGACAGGCCTGTAAGCCTAAACGGCTGCACTTTACTTTACGTCCTACACTCATTCGAATGAAAATATTGATTATTCGATAAGTTATATCGTTTGGTCAGTTAGGTAAGGTTAACCTAACCTAACTAACCAAACAATTTATCGAATAAAACAATTGAATAATCGATAGGCTTAATTTCATTTGAATGAATGTAGGACGTAAAGTAAAGTGCAGCCGCCTAAACTATTAACTTAGGCCTACCTAAGTTAGGCATATTACTCTTGTTTCAAAAGTGATTTATAAAACACAAAGACGTTTGTCTTTAACTAATAAATGTTTGATTTGTACAGTAAAGTGTAAACTTAAGTTACTGGCACGGTGTCAACTCAACTAAGTATAAGTAGGCCTAAGTAAGCTACTACTGGTACTGGTATAACCTTATCAGAATTTTTGTTTACTAGGCTACTAAGTTAGTGAGCTTTCTGGACGGCCCTGCTAAGCCTACTAACCAACAGAACAGTCACAGTTGCGAGAAGATAAATTATTTTGAGCTTCAATGCTAAACCCGGGCTTAACTTACCTAGTTTTGAAATGAGAATTGTTTTAGAATAGGATAGGCTAGGGCTAGGAGTAGGACATTGGACGGATTGGTCACTGGGCTAGTGGGTTAGGTAGGGCTATAAAAAACGACTCCGGTTTGAATGTAGACATAGATTTTCAATTAAAATTGTTTTGGTTTAGAACACTACATGTTTTATATTAAATATTTTAATATATTTATAATCATACATTTATATTTAAATAAATAATCCGCAAATTACTGAGCTGGTGTCACTTGCTCTCCATGTTATCTTATGGGACTTCCGGGGCTGGACAGCACCACTTGCGACGTTGCCAATTCTACAAGGCCGCGGCCTGTAGTTAAAGGCGGCCGTGCCTGCACACTATACTTGTGTAAATGAGATCCGCGGCAGTAGAGTAGAGTTTCTGGTAGAGTGACACTGTCTTGTAACTGGTTTATAACACTCATTTTGGGAATGGAGGTGGAACAAACAGTTCACAAACTATCATCAACACTCTACTATGTGTGAACAGTCGCTTGCTTAAAATCGGTAGAGTGGACAAGAAAGTAGCTCTACTATAAACTCTACACTACCAACAACTCTACCCGTGTAAACCAGGCTTTACAGTCGTTGAAAAGGTGTGTTCTGTCAAATGCATATTAAGTATTTTTGTGTTCTGTTAAACTCATATCAACTGTATTAGGTTATAGCATAGTTAAACTATTTAGAGCTCTAATAGGTATATTTTCCTTGAGCCTCATTTATAAAAGTCCCAAATATTCTGATTATATGAGCAACTTGAAATATTACCACAAATCGGATTTAATCCCCTGTTTGGGTGACAGCATCATCATTATTGGCTTTATGCAATGTATACAAAGGTCAAAGATACTAATAAGCAATCACAATATTATCTACTAGAGCACTCGTGCGGCTCAATGAGCCGCATAGTATGAAATAAGGGAGTATGTTTTATCTATGATGAAACATAACTCCGAGGAAAACGTTATTAAATTCGAGTAATTCTAGTTACATCTTTGAGTTGTTTAAACACTTGTGAGAAACTAATTTTAAATATCTCTATTTGTGTCGTAAAAGGTTCACCTACATTATTTCTACTCTTAGTTTTAACTGATAACTTCTAATGAATGCTAAACGATCTGCTTCAATCCGAGAGTTAACATGTTACAACAAAGTTTTTTCAGCATTCAGAATTGAAGAAAACTGTTGCCTTACTGATAGCCTGTGTTAAGTAATTTAAGTTTGGGTCATTTTATTTCTTTGATTTGAGACTTCCCTCTAATCAAACAAATTTTATCCGTAGATAATCCTGAATAGTTGGGTGATATCAACCATTTCATGTGCTCCTTACCAACTGGACAGCCATAATCTGCTTTGAATAGGCTAAAGCAGCCACACCATTGAAAGTCGGTTAACGTATTTTAACGTGTTGTCTGTCAGTCACAGTATATGCCCCGCATCAGAACGTTCTCACGTTGTTCAGGGGAATCCCTTTTTTAATACCTGTCCCAAAGATTTCAAAGTATGGATTCATTTGTCGAAATAGGTTGGATAACTCTTGTAGCTATAAAATTTGGATATCAATTTTCATTTTATCTTTTTGAAAAGCGTATACTGTATTATTTGCCTCTCCTGAATCATAAAAATAATCTTGACCGTAACTACTCGATCGTTAAATACATAAACATTAATTCCTTCACTTATGTTTGGTATAATATTGCCACTAAAACTTTCAATGGCAAATGAGTTTTTGAAACTTCTTATTTTTTACTTGAAATGTCTGGATTGTGTTGATGAATTCAGTCCAAAAACGATGTATAAGTTTGTCCGAGATACGGGCAACATAACCTGGAAGTAAACAATCCATTTGTGTTTTTCTCAATTGAAGTAGACCGAGTAATACAAAAGTTTACAATAAACACATAAGGTCCGCAAAGATTTGGTATAATCTTACTACTTGAACTTATCATAGTCAAGGCATTTTAATAGTTTCTACTAAATGTTTTGAAATTTCTCGATCTGTCAGTGCCAGAAGTAAACATTTCTTGCATGCATTCATTTGATCTGACATTAGGCAAGTTTACTTTACCTTAAAAACACTATGTACTTCGTATATTTTTTTAACTTCCAAAGTAAGTTGAATAGTAACTGTCAAATATTATTCATCGCACCAAGTGAATGGGTATCTGTTAGACCAGGCCTCTCTTATTCTACTCTCCTCATACGCATAAGATATCTTATTATTAATTGTCTCCTCCTCCAGTTTTCAATATTTCTTCTATGAACTTGAGGCATTTTCTGTAACTGTTTAACTTGGTCTTAACCTGAATATTACAAACATTAATATTTACTCACCAAAAGCTAATGAGTGATAAACAGCTGTTTTTTTGTTTTTAAATTGGTTCTGTGTATTTCTTATGGGGAAAACCTGACCTTTGCGAGGGTCTCACGCCCTTAGGAGAAGAAATTTTAAAATTTTAAAACCTTATTGCAAAACTACATATTGAGACGAATCTTTTGACACCTTAAACGTTGAAATTAGTCCACAAATAAGGGAGGAGTTGCGTTAACAAAATACGGCTTCACGTATTATATATATAGATGCTTGCATGTTTCCATTTTCAACAGCAGTTCTAACTGCATGAAACTCGTTTTTAGGCCAGAAATACTCTATTTACAACATTTGAAGAAAATCGTCGGAGCCGTTTTCGAGATCTTTTTGCAAGCAAGCATACATACAAGCAAACATTGCTCGTACCAGTCGTACCATGGTGGAAGGAAAAAACAACAATATGCTAAGTCATACCAAGCATTACAATTTAACATGCAGAAATCAAACTACATCAAATAATAAAAACAATCATCATGAAGAACTCTCTCTCTCTTAATAAATTGTAAAAAAAAAATTGGCAACCATAGGAACCATATTGTTTGATTTATTGTGGTAAAATAACACAGATTATTTTTACATGTTTTTTATTAGTTTAATGTTTATAGCCATATCTTGCGAGGTATCCTACTATTTTTATTTTTTGTATTTTTTACCAGGTCTTTACTGTACTTTGATTACCACTGGCATTTTGATCGCCCTGCTGCCTCGCCTGCCTGCCCTGGTGTCGAACTTACGAACTAGCCAAAATTGAGGCTCTGCTAGGTGAAGTGTTGTTTACAATAAATGTGTAAAAATAATGTCAAATCCCACAGGTAGTAGGCGTAATAGAACGATGAAAATAAGATTAACAAGTAAGTAGATTAAATGAGATTACAAATTAAAGCAGTAATTAGTATAATTAAGCTTTTATATTAATATTTTTTAGATCATACAGATTGTTCATTCATGAGTTCATTCCAACATGGCTGCTAAATGTGTGAATAATAAGACTACCCACAATCTAATTAATTTTAAAGTTACTTCTTTCTCACAAAGCTTACAGTACCTATTTATAGGCCTACTAAAAAGAGTGGTTTTTATGTGTACCAATTTCATACACCCTTATTTTCTCGTGTATGTAGCCACCTATCTTAGTTAAAAATTGAAGATGTGAAGATTCAATTAGGCCTAGGTCTACCCTAGGCTATTTACCAATTAAAAAGTTACTTAAAAATGTTAAGTTAGCTTCTTATTTGGATGAATTTGGCTTAGTATTGCCTATATTAACACATTGAAGTGTTAAAGTAAAATCCAACCTCCTTGTTCTGTATGTTTAGGCCTACCCATTTGGAATATTTAGGCCTAGAACTTAATCCCGATTTGTTCTGAAAATCCGGATAGGCCCTAAGATAAGCCCTTTGATTTGTAACACCCTGCTAGGGGTTTTAAAGATCCTTCCTTACAAGCCTGACTAAACTTAGCTGCCTAGTTGGCCAAAAAATAGGCTATAAAACATTGACCTTTCAGATTCGTGTTTGACTAAGTTATCTTGTCTTAAGTTACAAAAGTAACTTACTGTAGGCTAATCCTTTCGCTGCCAGCATTTTTCATTCGTTTAATCGAGAACCACCGAGGCCATTTTGTACTTAAACACAATGCTTAAGTTATAAGTTAGTTATAACGGCTACCAGTAGGCCTAAGAAACTTTTTTATTTTTTAAAATATTTCTTTTTTAAATCCCAATTAAACTGATAAAATCTACTGCTGACATTATCTCCGAACCCTTAAGTTATCTCTTATTATAAATCAGTGTTTAAAGAATGGTATTTTTCCAGATCAACTCAAATACTCCAAAATTTCTCCCATTAAGAAAGGTTCAAAATCAGATATTAATAACTACCGTCCAGTATCAGTATAAAGTATTTTTCTAAAATATTAAAAAAAGTAATAAGTTGTAGACTAAGTTTAATTAACTTATGTATGTATGACGTATACGTAAGCCTGAAATGTAACCTTTTGCCATCTTTGTCCATGCATATGTTAAATGGAGATTTCTGTTAATAAACAAATGAGATTGCAGAGGCCTTGGAGGTCTCTGGCCACAGCAGGTGTTTTCTGTGACCTGTGGTCACAGGCTTTTGACCGTGTGGACAGTGCCGGATTTACCACTAGGCCGATTAGGCCACGGCCTAGGGCCGCAAGCAAAAGGGGGAGGATTGAAAAAAACTTTTTTATATAAAAAAATTATTTTTTTAACCATCAGTTTGCCGCGATTACAGGTGACCATAATAATGTTTCCGTGATTGCGGCCCGGCCATGGGAGATGTTCTTGATTTCGGCGCGGCTGGGGGTGCCAATGTGGATGTCCATGTGATTGATAGCTTCCCGAGGGAGATGATCACGATTTTGCCGCGGCCGTGGGTGTTGAAGATGATGTCCCCGTGATTGCGGCCTGCGGGAGATGTTCTCAATTTTGCCGCGGCTGGGGGTGCCAATGAGGATGTCCTTGTGATGGCTTTCCGAGGGGGATGTTTACGATTTTGCCACAGCCGTGGGTGTCGATGATGTCCCTGTGGTGGCGGCCTGTGGGAGATGTTCACGATTTCGCCACAGTCGTGGGAGATGTTCTTGATTTCGCCACGGCTGGGGGTGCCAATAAGGATGTCCCTGTGATGGCTTCCCGAGGGGGATGTTTACGATTTCGGCACGGCCATGGATGACAATGATACACTCATGATCGCAGTCCACGGTAGATGTTTTAATACAACTTTTCCGTGACCACGAGTGTGATGATGATGCCCCCTGTGATTGCGGCCCGCGGAAGATGTTCACGATTTTACTGCGGTCGCAGGTGACTGTGATAATGTCCCTTTGTTGCAGCCCGCAGGGGATGTTCATGATTTTGCCGCGCTCACGGATACCTATGATGGCTTTGACTTGATTTAGGAGAGATGTCCACAATTTCATTCGCGATCACGGGTGTCATTGATGATGTCCCCTTGATGATGTCTCCTTGATGCATAAGAGATATTCACGATTACTTCCGCGATTGCAAGGAATTTCCAGCACAGGGGGGGGAGGGCCGCTCAAGTACCCTAAATCTGGCACTGTGTGTGGATCACTCACTCCTGTTGCTGAAACTTAATGATTATGGGATTGGGGGAAGTTGCTTTTCTGTAATCTTACAATCTTACCTTTCCGAAAGAAAACAAAGAACTTTAATTTTAGAATTAGGCCTAGAATTAATTTAGTCGAAGCTCATAAATTCTTAAGAGTTTGTGTAGATGAAGCAGTTAAATGGGATTCACATTTGAACTATTTAGGCTACATACCAAAATTAGGTCGATATCATCTTTATTCATACATTTAAAGGGTCTGTGTTTCTATTGAGACACTTAAAGTCGTTTATGATGCTTATGTGGAGTCTGTATTAAGATATGGCATAATTTTATGGGGTCAAGCTACTGGTATTGAAACTATCCAGGTTACAAAAACGTATTATTCACATTATCACCCACTCTCATCGACACAGTTCTTGTAAGACACATTTTCAAAATTTTAAAATTCAGACATAAACGGGATTGTATATTCTAGAATTATTAAATTACATACATTCAGTTAAAAATGAGCTAGGCCTACCAGAAACAATACATTTCAACCACAGGTATGAAACCTGAAATGAAAATATATTTAGACTCCCCAGACACCGTTTGACCCGAGCCTATATGAAAAATTTTCATTGTATACTGGGCTGAGATTGTACAATGTGCTTCTGCCATGCTATAAGTCACTAAACAAAACCAAATTTAAAGAGACAATAGATAATTTACAACGTATTGACAAGGCTTTTTACTTAATTGAAGATTTTTACAGAACTTAAATTTAGAACATTTTTTTTATTTTTTCATTTTTAATATTTAATTTTTAGTTAAGTTTAAATTTTAAATATTTTATGTATGGATTTAATTTTGACAATGCACCTGTTCTAAATGTTACGACTTGTATGGAATGTTTTGTGCAAATAAAGTATGTCTATGTCTATCACAACCCTTACTAAGGTTATTAACCTCCATCGATAAGGTGACTTAATCCTGCTTGGAAGCTAGATTAGCGAGTTTTGGTCTGGTGAACTCTAATAGTATCTATGTCGTTTAGATCTACGAGGGGTAAAATAATCACTAATTTTGCGGTCGGACATATAACCTCAAAAACGTCTGTCACCACGTGGTGTTCTAGCTGCTCCACTCGCCCGCACAGACCCGCTCGGCCGCACCCCCATACTGTACCACAATATTATTAACCTCGGCACACGATTTGCTTTCCGACTGATAGCTAATTACTCTTATGCGCACACTAAATAAACTTTTAAACACAAAATTAAGTCTTATAATGTCAATAAATCCACTAAAACTTCTTGAAAAGTGGGAGCTGTCGTACCAGTAGTCTTAATCACATGCAGTAAATGCTGCCAACCAATCATCCCTCAAAAGTTGTGCCTACAAAGAGTTGGAAGTCAATTCAAGCCCAAACTAAAAGTAAATAAACAAAACATTCACAGCAAACAAGATAGAAACACCAACAATACCTGCCCGGTAAGTGAGGACAAAAACACAAAAATTAAACAAAACAAAGGTATAAACCAGTTTTCTTTAATTGCTTCAATGCTATGATTTTAAGAGTTTTTTGTTGCATCAATTTCCAGCATGTAAAAAAAATTTAACACATTTTTGTCTCTGAAATCTGTGAACTATGATACCCAACTGAAATAACATTAGGTTTGGTGCTGATGTAAATTAAAATTGTCTTTAACTTCATTATTACAATCATAGGTACGACTTGTCAAAGTAGGCCTACCCCAAGTTCTATAGGCCTAAAATCCACATGGTACTTATAACAACTAATTTAGACTACCAATAATTTAAATGATAATGTTAGCACCGTGTGGTTGTGATCTGACCTTAATTATGTTCTATATCTAAATATTAATTAAAATAGGATAGGTACCATAGATGGTTAGAAACACTAGGAGACCAGACTATATTATAATGGTGGTCCTTTCCCACTGAAATATACAGACTGAAGCAAGTCTGGCGTCTAAGCAAATTTCCATTTGTGTGATTGAATTTTTACCAAAATATTTCTCTTAAATTGCCAGATTTATTGCCTAAATAACTTGAATGAATATAAAAGCCTGCTGCTAAAGGGATGCAATAAAGTGGTTTTAAGTAAAATGTCAATACCGTAGCTTAAGTTTAATATGAAAAATAAATCAATTTGTTCAATGAAATATATTCATAAACAAGCAAACTACGACAGTTTATTTATTCTCCATGAAAGTAACATGAGAGTTTTAAACTTACATGTTTGTGGAATTTTTTGTTGTTAACTGTTAGACATAGAACACATCAATACTAGGTGAAACCTGTCGAAATCGACGGTTACTTTCAAGGCTTACGTTAATTCATCTAACTGCGATAAATTGGGTGAAATATACATATTTTGAGTATTTAGTATTGTTTAAAGAGTAATAAGTGTTAAGAAAATAATGATATTAATTGCGTTAGTTGCCAAATTTGGTTGATCATTCAATGAATGAAATATTCCCCATACCGTACGTCATCGGTTATTATTAGTATGTTATCTGGTATCTCTTCCTTTCGAAGAACCTAAAATCGTATTGGTGGATCTTTTGTAGTTAAACACTTCCGCGATTTCATCAGTGTAATATTATTTTATTTGAAAAGAAAATATTTTTTGGAAAGACATATTCTAATTTCAAAGGGAGGTATGTCCGTTACAGTGTAAGTGTAAGTTTGATTTTCCTTCGTCACGTCGCATCAGTTCATATCGTACTTCAGTGCCAATGAATGAACCCTCTAGCATAGTTTTGAGAAATTGGTTGTGGGGTTACTGTTAAGGCTGGAATTCCTTGACATGGGGGATGTCAGTTAGTTGTCTCAGCCTTATCAATAACATAAAGTTGTAAATATAATCTCTCTACGGAATGTTAGGTGTAGTGGAATACTTGAAGTGAAGTTGGATTTTATTTTTGAACTGTTAGGGGCCTCCTAGTTTATACGGCCTTGCGGCTTCATTGGCAACAAATAATCCAAATGACATAGCAATGGGACATTTCCAAAAAACAAAAATACTGTAAATTGGCTGTTACGTAAATATTGACGTTTACATGCATTGTTAATCAACGTATCTTATAAAGGATTATGTGATCTAGTTTAAAAGGAATATGACCTTTCTGTCATGACAGTGGCTGCTTAAATTGTATTTTCTCTTTGTACCATATTTTACAGCCAAAATGTCGTGTTATTTTCAATAATGTTACCAACCCAGTGCAGTGCGCCAAAGTCCGTAATATAGGCAGGTGCAATTAATAATTTGTCATGATCGGTACCATTTTAGGCAAAGTTTCTATGTTTTGATTTTATTAGACACTATAAGAGCAGATATTTCTACATAAATATTTGATATGTGTAGAATAATTTGATAAAATGTAGGCAAAAGTGGTGAAAAAGGCAGACACCAACCCGTACAATAGATATAAGATAGGTAGTTCAATAAGAAATAATTGAAGAATTGCTGTGATAAATGGATTTTCCACTGATTTCGTAATGAAGCTTTATATTGCAAAACATGAATCAACAAAAATAAATATTGCAAATCAATTTTAAAATCAGAAAATAACATTGCAAATACTTATTTGGTAGAATTCGGTAACTCCCAATAAATAAATGTGTGTTGTTTGAAATACAATTTAAAAATGAACAGCTGTTTCATTAAAAAGTATTATTCAAATGGCCAAAATGTAAACAACTCTGTGGAGGGATCTTTAAATGCTTCTGGGGCAGAGTCCTAAGGGATTTTGCTTAGTTTTTCTTTTGATAACTCATCTACAGCCCAAGACCTTTCTTTGGACACCTCTACCAAGTTTCTACGCCCAGCCGTTCTCTCAAATTAGTGGGGACAAAGTTTCCAATTAAATATTTAGATTTCCTCATGTTAATCTTATGGGAGAAACTCCAACTTTGATGGCCTGTGGGGCAAAGCCCGAGGATTTTTATTGCAGGAATTGGTGAAAGGGGGCGTCTACACAAAAAATACTTTATTTTGACACGTCGTTTGTACAAATCCGTCCATTATTAACGGAGGAGTAGTGTTTCGTAGAAATCGCCTTCACGTATTATATATAAGGATTGATTGACAGCCTAGTAAATTATAAGTTTTTAAGCTCTACAAAATGGTGGAAAACAAAGCAAAATCATTTGTTTAGGGGGTCTAAAATGAGGGAAACTAATTTTTACTCCTTAAAACCCCGTTCCCATGGCTCGACCATGCTGGTTTACGAACTTGTTTGAATAAATGTAGGTTAACTTTAATACCAAATTTCATCAAACAAATTTTTACTTGAGTTACAAACTAACAGGTCACACGAATTTGAAGAGATGGTGCTCTTGGCCTCTGGGGACATCAAAACAAAAATTGTTCCCGGGTCTTGGTCTTATCATGAGACCTAAGCTAATAGCTTAGGTAGTCCCCAGGTATATGGGAAATTTGCTAAAATCATACATTCACCCTGCTTTATTTTATTGGTTGATAAATTTGGATAGTTTGTGATTATAGTTTCCTTTTAAAATATTATTTTTAATTTAATTTTTACAATTGTATCTGGGTTTTAAATATTTTAAGAAATATGTGCAGGGCACATTTTCAGACCGTTTAAGGACTTTTTGAGTTCGTTAAGACCTAGGCACCTAGAACTTTTTGGTGGGGTAACTGAAAGCTGCTTAAGTTTTACGAATGCTTATTGTTAAATTGCACTAGGACTACAGAGGGATTCTTAAAATTAAGCTAAGCAGCCTAATAAAAAATTCCCAACAACTTCTTGAACCATGGACAAATTAACATATGGGCTAATGTATGCAAGACCCTACGTAAGACATCTGTAGGCAACCTGATACTGACTTCTGCCGCTAGAGCGAGTTTTTGTCCCCATTGATCCTCTCTGTTTACCAGACATCCTGAAACGTTATTCCACTCTGTTGGTTTTGTTTTACAGTCCGGCCCCTGTGTAATCTATGCCTTCCAATACACTGCAGAATTGTTTGCCAATAGAAAGTTTGTCCTTGTTTGTGATAAATAATAAACCTATCATATGGGGCTTAACTAACGTTTTTTGTACAGGGTTGACTTACATGGCATTAGAACTCAATTTTGACAAATGAACCATATCTGTCATTCAATATTAGTGAATGTATTTGTACAGAATATTCTTAAAACAAAAGAACTTTGAAATGCACCAGGACAACGGATATGGTCCTTTTGTATGTGACAAGCGCAAACCTTTAGAATGTAAGTTTGACCTAAATCCATCCGGTTTTTGCAGTTTGTTTATACCAACCATAAACATTTGAGGGTTGTTCTGAATAAAGCCATTTTTATTATATATCTCTGATCAATTGTTTACTCTCTTTTTTTATTTGAATTCTTACAAGATAAAAAGCATTGTACAGATATAATAGATAAACCTATTAAATGATTTACAAAATCAATGTACATATGAATGTAAGTATCGTAGTAGTAAATTAAATTATTGCATGCATGTTTAGCAGGCCCTACAGTACAGTTTTCTCTCTACTAGCCATAATTTTCATTCACGCTTATTTAAATTTTAAATCTGTCCATATTTATTCTACTCTTGTGTAACTGAACTTGATCGTTTTCACGATAATAAACTTTTGTTTCAAATAATCTTGCCTGATTTCAAATACATCTGTGGATGCATTCTTGATTTTTGTAAAAACAGACAAATGAATTGGGTTAATATTTCTAACCATTAGGCTTAATAGTTTATAAAAATTGTCTCTCTTTTTTTTTTGTCAATCAAACTATCAATAATTGTTCATGATACATCTAGACCTACCCAAATACATTGAATAAAACAGCTTAGCTAGGTTTTATTGGCAAAAATAAAATAGATTGTCTATTGTTTTAGATAGGTCATGATTCTAAAGAGGAACTATTTAACCAAGATTGGTCACTCATTACACAATAGTAGGCACCACTCTCTCTTCCTGTCCCAACTATCAGTGTGCTAGTTGTCTAATCATACACTTACCATTGACAGCATGAGGGAATCATTGAATCTGTAACATCCAAAGGTTAATATCACTGTGTTGATCTTCCAAAAAGTTCTATTTAGTTAATTAGAATTTTAACCTTAATTTTTAATTTTCAAGAGCTATTTTTTTTGTTTGGTTTAATATACAACTTATTTCAGGACGTTTAAATATGTATTTTTAATGCACATATGCCCAGCCTTTTTATTCTTGTAGGCCTAGTTCAATATTTCCTGGAACATCAAGGAAATTAGTTTAGGGTCAGGGAAGTGGTTGAGAAAATACTAAAAGTCAATGAAAATATGCTAAAACTATATAAAGTCACGTGAGTTGATGTAAAACTCAGTGAAAACCTGCACTTTAATGTATTAAAAAGGTTGTGTATTATAAAATTATTTTTTCTAAATAATATTTATTTAAACCAAAAATGTATATCTATATAAATAAAATTAGAGTTTTGTCTGTACATTGCTTAGAATAATGAACTTTTTGGTTATTTTTACATTTCATAGGTCAGAGAAACCGAATCAAACCTTATCTCAATTTCTGTCTGTCTGTCTGTCTGTCTGTCTGTCTGTCTATCTGTCATTCTCTTGGTAACGCTAAAATACGCACTTTATTACAACTACTCCTCAATAACTATAGCACTGTCCCGCCTGAAACTTATTTTCCAAATACTATACATATATGAGATGGTTTTAGACGTATTTCATCGAATATGAGACAGTTAGATATTTAACAGTAAACCCTTGAAAATCAAGTTTTTGTCGATTTTTGACGTGGAATTTCTGGAAGCCCATGTTAACCTTATGAGAAATGAAATTATTGAATCTTAACAGCTGTTTCAATTAAACAAGTTGGTTCTGTTCTGTGATGTTCAATAGCATTAAAGTTACAAGGATTACCAACAGGGTGCAGCACTAGCACTATTATTTCTTTTACATTTATGACAACAGCTAATTTGCAACCTGGAGGCGAGTGAGCGTAGCGAACGAGCTAACCTGAAGGCAAGTGAGCGTAGCGAACGAGCTAACCTGAAGGAAAGTGAGCGCAGCGAACGAGCTCCAACATACAGGTGAGTGAGCGTAGCGAACGAACTTCAACCAGGACGTGATTGAGCCATGCAAACGAGATCAGATAGTAAAAATAAAAGTAAGCCTACCGTTATAGGATCGACCGGCAGACACAGAGGTAATTTAACCTTTTATTGATTGTCATACCGATCCGGAACAACAAAAAACAACATAAAATGAAGCTATGTATAATAGTTTGGCCAGCATATCTTAAAATATGCAAACCAACTGCTGTTCGTTATATAAGAAGGTTTCAACTGAATATTATAAGATCCCCGTGCGTAGAACGGGTACACAGCTAGTTTGTACTAAAGTTAGCCTTATATGTAGTAGAAAATACATCCGTTGTCTTTTTTCAGTTCTCTGTGCAAGAAACTTGGCCAGAAAAGATCTATTTCGTAAGTAAAGTTTTCAGAATTAAAGATAGTTAAAATATGTGATTAGCCTATATGGGTTTACTCTAACTACCTCAACTGCCAGTCATTATGAACCTTATTGGTCTGTGCCATGATATAAGGTACAGTATAAGAAGTCACATGGATAAACCATTGGTGTGCAACGATAAGATAGTGCATGCGGATAGTACGAACCATCTGTGTAGCTTATCTGCACTGAGCTACCGTAATAAGCGCTTAGACTATTAATAGAAAGTCTTAAACTGTTCAAATAGCACTAACTTAATTTATAGATTGGTCATAGGTAACATTGTGAAATGTTATTTTTGTCAAACAAAACACTAACAATTATTTTACTCAATACACTTAAAAGGTAATAATAATTATAAATAATTAAATAATAATTGTTTATTTTTTTATAGTTGCAAGTATCAGTAGATAAATTTCTTTAATAAATTGTCTTTCAACATCAGTAACTTGGATCTGAAATGCTTGAATACTCGCTTATCTAGATATCTAATGAATAAAGCCCTTAATTCAACAATAGAGTTGGAATCATAACCACTTGTTTGGTTTATAGAAGTAAGTTGATTTTAAATAAACCTCCTTTTATATTTTTGTATAGGCTAATATTTGTATTAATTTTATTTTTTTAAATTTTAACTTATAATGTCCTCTGTAGGTTTTTTTAGGCGGTTGTTTCTGGATTTATGCTATTCTTTTGTATAACTCGGTCTATTATGTGTTTGCAGGGTTGCCAGACCCATTTGCCAAGATCAGTGTGGATGGGTCGGGACAATGTCACAGCACTGACACCTGCAAAGCAACATTGGATCCCAAGTGGAACCAACATTACGACTTGTGAGTAGCCTTAGTATGATATCCTCCCCTTCACATCCTGGGACGCTGTGCTCTAGCCTCGGACAGTGCCACACATTGCTTTAGTCATATATCATATATAGCGGGATTTGAACCCAGTACCTTGGAGACCAAAGCCCCTTACTTTATCACTAGACCAGCTCGCTCCTCAATTTCCAATCTGAGCCATACGTAGGTGGCTGTCCCAACCAAATAGATCCTAACGAGACGGAGCCAACCGTGATGTAAGCCATCTTGAAGTTCTCTTTTACTATCTATAGTGCTGCCCCTTATCTCTTACAGTTTTAATGGATGAACGGAATGGACTAGCTAGTAGATTCTTAGTACTACAATGTTCCCTTTTGTTGAGTCCATAATTTAATACAATTTCTTCCTTCTCCACTTGATTATTAATAGTTGACTAATTAAGTTCTAATCATTTGATTCAAGAACATGATACATGTATGTTGTAAGCCTAAATCAGAGGTAGGACCTATATCTTGACTAATTAATTCTAAAATAAGTAAAATTAGGTTTGTTATGTCAGGTTGGATATTATCAAAATCAGATTAAAATTACTCAAGTTATCATGTTCAATGGTCTTATCATGATACCTACAGTAATAGCTTATTCCCTATAGGCTATGGGGAATCTATCTATCTATATATTAATAGGCAAGCATGTTTCTTTTAAACCTTTTTTCTCAACTCACCGTGTGCATCGCAGGGAAAATCTACGCATACTCTTGGAAAGATATTTTCCTGTAGATGTGCAGAATCCCTTTATAAATTAAAATAGGCTCAAAAATAAGCACAAAAAATGAATTTGAAAACTTAAACAAAATAACATGGGAGTTATGGGTTGCCGTGATGGTGACAAAATAACAACAAAATATAAACGGAAAATCAAAACAAATTCCTATCACATGTTTTATTTACAGTGTGGGGTTAACAAGGTACATTACATAGTGTAAGAAACGGCTATGTGGACCTAACTTTGCCTGAATAAATAAAGAATTTTTCATTTCATTTATTATTTTTTAATTTAATTTCATTTAGGCCTACATATTTTTGGTCAAGTTTTCGACCACTGGACGTCCTCTAGTATCTATAAAAGAGGAAGTATGTATGTATGTATGTACCCTATGAACTCCGAAACTGCTCAACAGATTGTAATGGAACTTTCAGGCATTATTGAGCATTATTCAACGATGGTTTTTGTGAAGTTTGGTGCAGATTCGTCAAAAGGGCTCCACCCCAGAGGGTTTTAAGGGGTCCAATGTCAGACTTTTGGAACTCAATGTTTATAGATAAATATAATTTAAAAGCAGATGTTAACTTTCATAAACTGTTTTGTAGGTTTGAATAATCACAACATTCTGTATTAGTCATGATTTGAAATAGTGCCACAATGTTTCCACAGAATGCAGAACAGAAAGCTTTTTTTTTAAGTCCAAATATATTACACTCCAATCGCAGAACACCTGTGCACTCAACAATGTTTAAATTGACCACTATAAAATATGTAAACATAAAAAGTAAAAACCTTTATCAAAGTATTATAAACAATAAAAGGGATGGCAATGCCTTAATATTCTTATCTTTTGTTCTATACCCACACAATCTAACATAAATTATTAAGTGAATAATAATTGTGTGCTATCTCAGGTATTCAAATGCCTCCCAATTTGTCATCAACCCACCACATTACTTACTTAAATCCACCCAAGCTGAGCAACAGAACCAGACTGATGATTAAAAAGTTACACCAAACCTGATCAAAGCAACAATCATCAGTGGTAATTTTAAAGGAGAAATAGTCTTTATCCCAAGAAAACCGATGATTACATTCAAATTACCCTTTGAATTCAAGGGACTACAATTTTCTTGGCGTCTTGCTTTCGGAATCACCATAAGGCACAAGGGCATTCCCTGACTATAGCCAGTTTAAATTTAGAAAATGCATGCTTTTGACACGGACAGCTGTATGTTGCGTGCTCACGTGGTGGTAAATACGCCTAAAAACTTTCATATTTATACACCTAATGAAAAAACAAAAAACATTGTTTATCCACTGGCAATTAAGTAAAATACATATTCTATTTTTGTTTTTGGTATACACAGGGTGTCCACCGACCGGGAAAACCGGGAATTATGCATGATTTTTTTGAACCGGGAATTATACGTGAATTTTGTATTTAACCGGGAATCGTGCATGCGGAGGATGACGTTTCCGTTACCGCGTGAAACAATGATGATGTCCAACTGCCGCGGGATATGTTAGTGATTTTGCCGCGATCGCGCATGCGGACGATGACGTTTCCGTGACCGCGGGAGACTACGATGATATCTCCGTGACCACGGGAGACGACGATGACGTTTTCGTGACCGCAGGAAACGACGATAATGTCCAAAAATATTGCTTGAAATGATGACTGCAGGAAATTATTTGAATTAAGCTACGATCGAGGAAGATTATGATAACTTTACTGTGATCGCGGGAAACAATTATAATGTTTCCGTTACCACTGAACGATATCAGGATTTTTTCACGACCACGGAAGACAGTGGTGATGTTTCTGTTATTGAGTGAGATATTCAGGATTTTTCAGTTATCGCAGAAAACGATGATGGTGTCTCTACGACTTTGTTAGATGATTACAATATAACCTCGAGTTGGCTTGACCAAAAATTTCAAAATGACACTCTTCTAGAAAGATTTTTTATATTTTTTTGTAATATCTTCATTTACCTTTAACGTGGTAGGCTATTTATTTAATGGAAATATGTTTAGAAGGGTTTAAAACATAAATTGGCTACGTGCAATTTTTGTAATTTCTGCATTATTATTTCTCTAGGCCACTTGGAAAACAACCCATTACTCCAAAATTATACAATATGAAAGTACATAAAGCCAGGGGTTGGTGTAGTAATCCTTAAGCAAATTTGGTAAAATAGAAATTATCAGTATTACGAATCTATTTTTCAGGTGTTGTACAGAGATTCGATAAATTTTGGTATCGACATATCACTATTTTTAGGAAGTTATTAATAAACTGCAGGTTTAATTTTTGGATTATTTAATCAGTAATATATCAAAATTGAATACTTGTGTCAGGCAATATTACAGCAATCATATTTTTCCCCCCCCTTAACTGAGAATGCTCTTTCCGATAACTTAAATAGCGAGCTGTGTTAGAGCCCTAAAACAGCATTGCGGGAGTTGGCGCAAAACACGTTGGAAATTTTAGTATGAAAAGTACGACCTGAACTACCTGGATTTTTTTTTACTCATGAATTTTTTCTGGTTGGCCTGGTGGACACCCTGTATACATTTTTATTATTTATGGTAAAGAACAGATTATCATTTAAAATACCGGTAATAGCGCAGCAACGTGTGCCGGGTAACTGCTAGTTCACTATAAAAAAGGAAAAAGAAACAACAGTAAAGCAGGTTTTTAGTATACACACAATAATACAAACGTCATAATAAAAGGAACCAAAACCGTTACAATCTAAATAGGCTTTAATAAAAAAAATTTAAAGTTTTGCCTTTGAGTAAAAATTACTTTATAGTAAGTCTTACTAGCCTACATTAAATGAAAACCGTTAAAAAGACTAATTTAGAAAAGCTCAATTATAATATAATACGGATTATTTTAGAATATAGGCCTACCAACTAATATGAATTAAAAGTATAAATTATCATATTTATCTTTCATCTCATTGCAAAAGATTGGACTTCAATTTTGATTTTTCTGGTGTTTATTTTGTATTTAATCACATTTGCTGAACAAGTTTGTGTTTTTTCAGATACATTGGCAAGGGAGATGGGATCACGATCAGTGTATGGAACCAGAAGAAGGTCCACAAAAAGCAAGGAAGTGGATTTCTAGGATGTGTCAAGATAATGGCTAACACTATCCAGCGTCTGAAGGACACTGGGTGTAAGTACTTTATAAACATTCCTCTTGTAATAATAATATGTCTCCTACAGGTTAAATCTTCAACAGTATGTTAAAAAAGGGAAATCTGTTGAAAAAGATAGTACCAGAAATGATATTGGATTAACTAGTAATATGTAAGAAGGATTAGGTTATTTTGTAAAACAATGGGATTTAATCTGTTAGCTAGTTGTTCTGGGGACATACCAAAACTTGGTAATAAAATCTGTTATTGTCTCTAAAAGAGCAGTTTTCGAATTTGGGCAAAAATTGCTCAAAACAATCGATAGTTTTGAACTGAAATATTTTTAATTTGCCACCAATTTGAGAATCAGGAGAGGAATCGTTAGGAGATGTTGGTTTTTTAGTAGTGACACGTAGTGGTGCTTTATATGTGTTTTGCTTCTACAGTGCAGTTTTCCGAATAGTGACAAGTTGTGTGTCTGTCTATTGGCCTACCTCCAGCTCTATCCCTGTAGCCCAGTCAATAAAGATTTTGTGTTAGAAAGAATTAAAAAAAAGCTAAACTCGCATATAAAATGTGTGTTTTCTATGTTTTTTTTCTTTTCTTTAACCTAAGTACCCACCTGGTGTTGCAGACCAGCGACTGGAGCTGTGCAAGGCGAGTGCTGACGACCCAGACGTGGTGAGAGGACAGATAGTTGTGTCCCTGCTGTCCCGTGATGGCGGAGGGGGTGGAGGTGGCGGGGGACACAATGCTGTAGTGGACCGTGACGGGGCACTCAGCTGTCCGGCAGATCTGCCCCCGGGCTGGGAGGAGAGGCGCACCTCCGCCGGCCGACTGTTCTACGTCAATCATCACACCAAAACAACACAATGGGTGCGGCCCAACAGGTACTGTCCCATGTTACAATCACCTAGCTATATTAAATTTCACGTTCACCCAGCAGGAAAGAGGCCATGTATTTCAAACAGTAGTCTCAGCGTCATTGGTCCTAATAAATACATCAGGACATGCAAAACACTAATTAACATAAACTTTATCTCACATTTTTTTACTACAGTACTCATTTTGAAATCCAAATTATAGCAAGACTACCTGCCTGAAACCTGTATTGAACGGTGAACAATGTATTCATTATATACTTGTAGAGTTTAAACGAAATTCACATTACTTCTATCCTAATATTTGTGATGCAATTCAGGATTTGTGTGTTAACACATTCGATGCGGCAGGTCCACCGGTGGACCCCGCGCGTCTCAGCTGAGGAGCGGGGGGTCCACGGGTGGGGGAGCGCGCATTGCATTGTTTGCCGGATCAGTATGGTTCAGCCATTGTCCGGGGAACGTTGTAATCTTTACCAGCCTGTAGCTTATAATGCGAGCTTTATTCTGGTGTAGGTTGGTACAAAAATTGCCCGTAAAATCCCGTCTGGCAATGCTTTTGTCCCGTTTTCGGGGATATCTCAATTCGAGCCGTATTACAAAGACTCTGGTTATTGATCCAGGCAGTGCTGCTACCTTTGGGTGTTTCAGTGAACTACGTCCACTTTCGGAGTAACGCAGAACAATCACCACTGCTCTTTTGTGATTCGTCTTACTGAGATATTTCAATACCAATAGCGATCGCTGATTCAGTTAGCGCGTCGGGGCTCCGCCCGGGCCTCGCCACAATTGGCGAGCGCCTGTTTAAAGGTTTTCAGCAGCGAATGTGTTAAGAAGCATTAACTATATAATCTTAATAACATATAAGATGAACATACACTAAGTTTTACACATGGAGATCAGCTATGCAGCTTTGCTGGTACACTAATGAAAAGATTTATAGTAATATTTTCAAGATTTTGAACTTAACATGGTGTTGGCAGGCCTCAGATTATGCTGACTTCAAGCCCTGAAAGTCCCATCAGCAACTCAACGTCCAACGATGCTGAGAACATTCCACAGAACAACAACAGCCACCTAGCCAATCCTAACCAGAGGTAAACCTGTGAAGACTATATAAGTGTTCAGTTTGGAACTATCAAAACTGTTATCATGGAAACATATTGTAGACTGGTTGATAATTGAACCTGTAACCTGTCAAATCAAGTTTATGATAGTAACAACTCAAGCATGTTAAATTCATAAGCGATCTTTCCAAGAACATTTCTAAGGAAAGTGAAGCTAAATACTATAACTTATCAAAATCGTTTGTCTTATGTATTGAAGATAAAAATGTGTTTTTCACATGCCCTCAAGATTACAAGTTATTGAGAGATCCCACTTGTCCTGGAAAATCTTGAATGTTGACCGTATTCAGGAAAAGTTCCTGAATAATTTTACTCTGGGCTTTTTTGTTATCTCTCATGTGATTTTTTAACAATTTAACTAGCATACATTTGCTAAGCATACAATAGCATACAATAGCTAGCTTCACCTGTTAAATACTTAAATTAGTTTGAGCTTTTGATCAAAGTTATCTGTATTGAACTCAGCAAACCTATCAAAAAAGGCAATACTTTATTATTTTCTTCTTTAAAGTAATCATATATTTCTCATAGTGTGCATTTCCCAATGTTTGTTTTCTTTGCAGGAACAACAGAGAAGAGCCACCTTACCCGAGACACATCCCTGGCCAGAGACGGAGCAATCGACGACAACAGAGACAACATCAGATACAGCAGCCGACCGACCTGCCACATGGTTACGGTAGGCTACAACCTGCTTATCTACTCTTACAACTGTACTATTTTTTATTACAGTAAAACCGTGCTGATTTAGCATATTGAATAATTCAGAATATTCCGTATTGAATTGGTCGGAGAGTTCTTTACCCTGAATAATGTTCGGCTAGAGTTAGCAGACATTCGGCTGAGGTCATGTACTTAGAAAAATTGCTGCTAATCAATGGGCTTGTTGACTCTTTCTTTTTGTTGCTGAATTTCCAATTGTGTTGCAACATGGCTATTTTTTGATGATGCTCAGTAGTCTTGCATTTTTAGCTAATCCGCACTACCTACCCAATTCCTGAACTAATGAAACAGTGATTGTCTATTGTAGTACCTATATTTCACATTATCACTTGTATAACATAACAATCCCATATTAGAGTAGCACAATAAACATATGATGATAACGTACTAAATATTTCAATAATGTTGTGTTTCAGAGCTAAGGACCACACAACAGGGTCAAGTGTACTTCTACCATGTCCCTACAGGCAGCAGCACCTGGCACGACCCTCGGATACCACGAGACTGCACTGCAGAGCTCAGTCCAGAGGTGAAAATTAGGCTTACAGTGTAAAATCAAACTTATGACATTTATCTAAGTTTCTGTGCAAAACACTGCCGGAAGTACAATGGCCACCCAACTTGTTAAGTGGACATAAAAATGTATCTCCAATCATAAATTGTTAACAATCCTAACAGCAAAATATCTAGATGATTTTTAGCATGATGTCTGATGTGGCTATGTCTGTTACAGGTGTTGGGTCCTCTACCCACTGGGTGGGAGGTGAGACAGACAGCCAGTGGTAGACTGTACTACGTCGACCACAACAACAGAACAACACAATTCACTGATCCAAGACTGTCTACCAGCATCATATCCAATATCATCAAGTGAGTGGCTAGTTCTGGATAGGGTTCCAGGTGAAATAGGTATCTTTAAAATAACATCTGAATCTGTTAAAAAAAGATATTGCAGTAAATTTCTTCTTTGTATTTCTGGTATAGTTTAAACTAGCAGGAGTTTTGTTATTGCACTCAGACGCTAGGTACTAGCCCAGGATCATTTATCACATTGCTTCAGGCCTGACCTAGGGGTTGCGGCTTCATCTCTTAGATAAAATCCATTGGTGATATGGCAGGTTTTGAACCCGGGACCTGTGCTCTAACACTAGCAGGAATGACACTGAGAGGAATTGAATGGGTGATTTGTTGAGGGCATCATAGCAGATAAGGTCATATTTTCTGGGGGGTTACATGCAATCAAATTCATCCAATAAAAAGAATGAATGTTCTACCACGCTTAGAGTTAATGTAAATTCAAAAAAAATCCCTGTTAGGATTCCCCAAAACAAATGAGTATCTGTATCTACTAAACATCTCTAAACTTTTGTAATACTATCTGAAAAAAAAACACTTGAAAACAGAATGATGGGTTTTCAAGAATTCTTAAAACCAACTCATTCAATCTACTTAAAAAAATTAGGTTCCTATAAAATAGATCAATCTCAATCATTGTTCCTGCAAAGAAACAGAAGCACTTAAACTCATTCATACATTAACATTAAATTTTACAGGGACCATCTAAACATCAGGGGAGATGATCTAAAATAGCATGATTGTCTCACCATGAGGGTTATTTCAATTGCTCATCTTACCATAAGAAATATTCTAAAAATCATTCTTGTAGGAAAAACAACCCCACAACACCAGTTGCTCCACCTGCTGGTGAGCCAAGCTCGGCCCCCACCACTACTAGCCCTGCCCCGCCACCACCAGCTGAAGGCGAGGCACTGCCCAAATACAGACGTGACCTGGTGGCCAAACAGAAGATATTGCGGGCAGAACTGACAGCATTGCAACCCCAGAGTGGCCACTGCAGACTGGAGGTGTCAAGGACGGAGATATTTGAGGTGTGTAGCGACTATCGAGTGCAACTGAAATGTATTTTAGGGTTGAGAGTATAAAGGAAAATGTCTATATGTGCCTTAGATAGCTTAGGATACTAGTATGGAAGTTTGTATCGAAATTGATTAAGTAAGCTATTTTTTTTTTTTTTAGATTAACACTTTAGGTTACATAAGAAAATTAAAATTATAAGTCCCAAGAAAATTAAAAGACAGTAGTGTCAGCAAAATAAATATATATCTTTTCCCTGAAAATATATTTTTTTAATATAGTGTGATTGGGTATCTGATTTAAGCAGCTAAATCTTCAACGCATAGGATATATCATGTAAGACGTCTATCCTCACATGACATTCTTTGAATGTGAACCAGTATGGAGTTAGCAATAAAAGGCTAGTAGTAGATTATAATACATTGTTGGTTTTTCTTGTCGCAGGAGTCGTATAGGCTGATGATGAAGATGCGGCCCAAGGATATGCGCAAGAGACTGATGGTGAAGTTCCGAGGGGAGGAAGGACTGGATTATGGAGGTGTAGCTAGGGAATGGCTCTACCTTCTGAGGTAATTTTTGTATTCCTAAGCCAAGTGCTTTTACTCTAAAAGAATAACTTTTTAACCAAATTTTAAGGTTTTTGTAAAGGAAAGGTTTAACAGGAAGTTTACCTTACTGACCAAAATTGATGAAAATGCATAAATAAAATCCTAACTCATCAAATTTTTGAAGCTATCAGCTCCAACTACTGATGACGAAGCTAGTAGCTCCAAAAATTCTATGTGTTATGTTTTTTTTGTGCATTTTCATACAATTTAGTCAGTAAGGTAATCTTGCTGTTAAACCTTTCTATTACAAAATCCTTAAAACCCCTGGTCTCAAGCCAGCTGTATTAGCAGCTCTTATTGCCAGTAGTGCTGGCTGCCTTTTCTGTGCATTAGCTCAGAACTTGTGTTTTTTCCCCCCTATGCTGCTGGCCAATCAATGTTGACACGTGTACCTAAAACCTCATAACCTTTTAACCAAATTGTTATTGCTGTAGTCGTATATTCAAGTTGAACAGCAGCTATCACTTGTGGTATGGCAGGTTATAAACTCCTCGTGTAATCAAGTGTTTATTCTGTGTTACAGTCATGAGATGCTGAACCCCCAGTACGGACTGTTTCAGTATTCCAGAGAAGACAACTACACCCTCCAGATCAACCCTGACAGCAGTGTCAATCCGGTAAATATACATGGTTTGTTCTTATAGCACCCTTCCCCATGTCACTCAGTAGTTAAAGGAAAGCGAAATATTTCCCTCTCTTTACATTGTACATAAAAATGTGTTTGGCAGTTGAAAATATTCAATGACTTTTAAAGGGGAAAGAACTATTGATTTAATGTAGAAGATTCACTATCAATTTTCACTTTAGGGACATAAATAAATATATAGGATGGAGAGGACACAGCTAACTCACCTGATGAAAGGTTGCAGATGAGTGAAAGAGGCGTATTGAAATGAAATGAAAGAGGTGAAATATCAAGTATTATTATGTTTGTGTGTATATATTTTATGTTTTCTTTGACTCGTCTGCAACCTTTCATCAGGTGAGTTAGCTGTGTCCTCTCCATCCTATATTTAATTTAATCCAAGCTAAATGCTTTCTCCTAAAAACATAACTTTATGGATATAGTTACTGTAAAGAAAAATCCAAGTCTGGAGCAAGCAAGTTTTGTTAATCCCAGTCAGCACCACAGTCAACCAGACTGATTTTACTTTCTCTTCCTATACAGAGTGTATTGAGAACGGCCATTGGTGACCTGCATGTTTATAGGATACACTAACAACCACTTTATACTTTATACTTTTCGATGAAATGGCGACCATACAAAGTAGGTATTTTAAGCCAAGTATGAATGGAGATGAGTGTAGGATGAGTGGCGCGATCTTGTAGTCTTGTTAGTGACTAAGGCTGACATATTCCTTAGTCACAGCTGTTAATTAATAACCCATACAGCTAATGGCAACTAAGGGACCTATAATTTGTAGTGGAATCCGAACCACATTTTTACCTTGGTGTATAAGAATTGGTCTAATTACCAGGACAGTACTGCGGATAGTCGTAGTACTCACTCGTGCGGACATTAATCCACACCAGAGAGTATCGCATCCACAGTGCATGCCTATAAATATCCACAATTTGTGACCTCCTAGTAGCCGTATTATTGGACGACGCCACCCGTCCCAGTCTAAAAGATACCCCCAATCCGATGATTCAAGGTGTGTGTCTAAAGCAAGGATTATGAACACCTCACTATGTCCCAGTGGTTGTAGTATATCGCTACAACAGGGTGTCTACCAACCGGGAAAACCGGGAATTGGGGTGGCGCAGATGGATCGGGTGGTTTTAAAATTCTTGTCAAACTGTCAATTTTAAAGGTATTGGATTGAAATAAAGTGCAAAACGTGTAGTAACAATGGAAATTTATTGACAAAAAATTGGTTAAGTTAGTTTTTAAAAATTACATCCATCAAATGCCTTCCTTCTCGAGCGACGCATTCTTGGAGTCGGTCCTTGAGGTTCCGCATTGCTCGCTCAAGCACATCACCAGGAATTGATGTGATTTCGTTGTGAATTGCAAGTATTTTAAAACCACCCGATCCATCTGCGCCACCCTGTACTTAATTTTTTACTGGCCATGAAATGTACGGGAATTGTCCTTAAATGCCAGACTATGTCCTTAAATTTTTAATGGGCAATAATTTTATCGATCGCTAGTTGGTTAGGAGCACATATAAGGTTTATAGATGTCTGTTTAGTTTACATTTTCATAAATTTATTACTATGATAATTGTGTAATAAAAAACCATTAGAAGCAACCCATTGATATTTTATCACCACAATCAAGTGTCAAGTCAAGTACTTCCAAGAACCATTGTGAAAGTAGCTTAGGTCATAAAAGTTGTATCACTTTTATTCCTTTACAACTTCTATTATTTATTACTTGGGTAATTATCATGAGATCCCAAACCTATTTAATCATGGATACAATAGTTTTATTATAATGGCTGTTAAATTTCACTTCTTGTACTTTTATCTTCTTGAACATTCAATTTGCCGCTGGCCATTGCCTACTGTCATAAAACTGTTGTAACTAATCTACAGTATTATTTTGTAAGTTAAAACAATTGTTTATGAATATTACTTCCAATTGACAAAACCACAAGCATTGTTGTTTGCATTAATTGTAACGCAGGCCTACTTGGTCTCAAATCATGTCATTGCATTTTCTGTATGTTTGTCTTATATTGTTGGCTGTTCAGGTTTCAATGTTTTTGTTTCCTTTATTTATTTATTGTGTTATATGCTTTAAGCAACCTAAATCTTATGAACTAGAATGATGATGGTGACTTTGCTGCTATTATAACCTCATTGTTTGTTACTCAGTTGATATTGCCCCCCCCCCCCCCCTAAATAATTAGGTCTAGGCCTGGGTATTTTTATTCTTTGAAAGAGCTGTAGAATATACTAAGAAAATGTAATTGATCCCAATAACTTTGCAAATGAAAAGACAATAATCTTTCTCTGTCCGTGCTTACTGGTAGCCGCTTACCATACCGATTTTGTACCGAGAACCGAGGTACAATATATGTATTAGAGATTTGTTTCAAAAGTAGTCGAGAACTTAACGTTGTGCTAGGGCGAATCATGCCTAACTAATCCACATAGATCGGATATGATATGATAATGTTTCCATGACCGATCGAGATATTCAGGATTTTGTCGCTATTGCGGTAGACGATGATTGGGTTTCTCTGTTACACTAAAGCTTTACCCGAAGTAAATGTTTGCTCATTTCAATAAATTTCTATTTTGAAATTTAACTCTTGTCTATTATTACTTACTTTTCTCTCTGGTACAACTACATTGAAGAACAAGATTAATACAGTTTGACAAATCAGGAAAATATATTCGGTAATCGGTGCGACAACGGTTACGACAAAGTGTCCTTAAATGTATGGGAATTGTCCATGAATTTTTATCCATAATCCAGTAGACACCCTGTACAAACACACAGGTCAACAATTATTTGCCAAACAGGACGGGAATCAAACCAGAGCAAACGAATGCCACTGGCCAAGTGACACACGCCCTAGCCTTCTCGGCTATCTGTGCTTGGAGACTGAGGAGTCAAAAACCGGTATTTAAGCTGACGCCAACGATTGCAAACAGATAGCGCTACAGCAGTTTGTTCAATGCGTTACAAGGTGACCCTAGTTAGTCACGGACTATTTAGATGATATTTTTCAGTTGAACCACAACAGTGATCATAAATTGTGTTACTGAGGATTTGCTGCAATAAACTATTTTTCCTAAAATTTCTATATAATAATAACCTTGTTAAACTAAATCAAGTTTAAATTCAATATTACATTGTAAACTAGATTTCTTTAGATTTTTGAAAATGTTTGTTTAAAATAATACTATCAGAACATTACAATTTATAAGAAAACTTGGAAATTTACAACAAAAACAATGTTTTATTTAATGTTTACTACAAATACCTGGACTTTTCTTTGTTTCATATTTGTTATTGTCTTATTAATCAAAATTAGCCCAATCAATAAAATAGTGACAACAATACAGTTAAAATTCAACAAAAGGTAATGGAATTAAAAGGCAAACAAAAAAGTCTTACGAAATACAAACTATTGGCCTAACACTGAAAGGGTTAAGCACTGCTTATTTAAATTGTTATTAATGGCAAATTAGCTCAATAACTTGTAAAAAGTTGTCCATTTTTTTTTATTAACATCTTTTTGATGGAATTAGCCAGCCTGATCCAATTATGACAATTGTGGCTTTGTTCCCCCCAAAAAGTGTTGACCTTTTCCCTTGATATTTTATAAAATGTACAAATATTTTAGAAATTGAATGGAATTTTGACAAAGATCATTTATGTCTACTGCTAATCTAGAAACTTTGTAGGTACTCAAAATTACCTAGAATTTGTTGTATCTTTTTTGTACTAACTATCGCAGTTACTAGGGATGCAGGTATTGAATTGGTGAGTTAAACAGAAGAAAATCATAATTTGTCTTTAACACAGCTGTAAACAGTAAGCTGTGTTAATATGTCAATCAATTTCTGTGCTTATTGTTTTAGGAACACTTGTCCTACTTCCACTTTGCTGGCCGAGTCATTGGCGTGGCTGTGTTTCACGGACACTATGTGGACGGAGGGTTCACCACTCCCTTCTACAAGATGTTGCTCAACAAGCCTATCACGCTGGAGGACATTGAGGGAGTCGACCCAGAACTGCATAGGAGCCTCACTTGGATGTTGTGAGTGATTAAATGGCGTAGAAACTATCAATTTAATTGTTTAAAAAATTAAAATTCAATTCATAAGAAAGGAGGATAAACTACACTCCTTTTGTCATTATATTAGCAGAAAATGTTAGATGTTAACAAGACCAGAGTTAACAAAAGACGTTAAAAATGACAATGGCTTAAAAACGCAAGGGGTAAAAGACAGTGACACAATGTTTTAATCAGAATATGAGTGGAACAGAGTAATATGCCTTTGTGTGGATTTGATACTGTCTAAGATCAGCTGTTTCTTTAGCCCGAATAATTACTAAAATCCCAATAATGATTAATGAATGACAGATGGGTTTGGCTTTGAAATGCTTATGACTTTTATTAGTATTGAACTCCCGGCCTTCTTTCTAACCACTTGGTAAGTACTATAAACTCCATAATAGTTCTGTTAATACTACCTAGCCTACTATCAACAATTACATTATGATGGTTAAACCTTCCCAAGCTATTGGGACCTCTCACAAGGTATCCACCAAATCTTGTACTGTACCTGTAAAAATATAAGAAAACTCTGTATTTGTATGAACTAATTATATTACCAAAATATAGTATGACAGACACACTTAAATGTTGATTCAAATATAAAATAATTTTATGAGAAGAAATATTTTGTATAGTACCGAAAATATTAAAACCAGCATTAGCATACATCCTTCTCTTTACCAATAAATAACAGGATTTTTATCTCAAAATTTGGAAAACGTTTGATACCCCTAACCATTTAGGATTTGTTTGCAGGGAAAATGACATAACTGGTGTCATTGATACAACATTTGCTGTGGAGGTGAATAGTTTTGGCGTTCTGAAAGTTCACGAGCTGAAAACTGGTGGCAAGGAAATTGCTGTCACAGAAGACAACAAGAAAGAATATGTCAAGTAAGCTTTGAGAGTATAAGTTAGAGTGCTGCTTTGAGAGTATAAGTTAGAGTGCCAAGTATGAAAATCACCCATTACACTTTTCTCAAACTTCATTTCAAATTCACTCTTCTTCTACTCCAAAAATTGTTTAAACTAATTCATTAGTATTCATATCAACTTTTAGCAACGAGTTTTCATAAAGTTGGCATCATTATCAGTCAGAGATTCATCTTTAGAAATTCTCAGTTAGGTCACTAAAGAAAAATATCAGCAAAAGATAATTACGGTATCCTAAATAGTTCCTGTGTATAGGTACCTGTTTTTTTTTTTTTTTTTTTTTCAATCATGCACATGATTGATACATTGTTGTCATGTCCAGGCTGTATGTCAACTACCGGTTCATGCGAGGTATAGAACAACAGTTCCTCTCACTACAGAAAGGCTTCACGGAGGTGGTGCCTGCTCATTTGCTGAGGCCGTTTGACGAACGAGAACTGGAACTCATCATAGGAGGCCTGGGAAGTATAGACATACAGGACTGGAAGGCCAACACCAGACTCAAGGTAAGAATTGTGTATGGATATATATCAGTTGACTTTTGAAGACTCTGTGAGTAACTTGTGTTAAACTAGAGAGGCATGCATACCTATTCTCTATATCGAATTGAGAGGTCCTCTCAAACAATTTGGGTATCCAATATATTTTACTAAAAATTCTCAGAACGGTTTTGAACCACGCCCTCGCACCTGCACCCAGGCAAACCAACTGGAAGCGAGATCCCATGTGCAGGGACAAGGAGCGGCTCACAAATCTCCCTAACAACCAGAAAAACCGTGGAGGGAAGGTTCAAGAACAACTCTCTGTTTGAGAGGAACAGACTATAATGAACATTTTAAAACAATAAAAAAAATTATCAACAATAACACAAGCAGTTCAATAAATTTAAAAATTCAAAAAAATTAGAGTCCTCATCTATCATACTAGCTCTCAGCCATTTCCTTAGCTATCAAAACAATGTCAGTGCAAAGCTTCTACTAATTTTTAAATTCCTTCTAAATAAAACAACAAATTACAGTGATAACAATAAAAATACCTTTCAATCATTAATTTAGGCTTTGTCAAAATTAACCTTTTAGGGGCCCCCTAGTTGAATAAATAAATCAAATCATTAATAAATAACTTAGTGAGAATAAAATTTGAAAGAACAATAACAATAATTAGAATGCTGTGCTTAAATTTTTTTACCAAAAGTCCATTTGGCAACAGCAACAATTAACAAAAAAATTCTATATAATAATAACGATTCACAAAACTTGTGTAGTACGGTTTGGCGGGTCAGGCAGATGACACCGGAGGGTCCATGAAGCCGGGCGGAGAGGGGGCCAGATTCCAAAGTAGGCCCAAATATAGACATACCACGAACAAAACAACCTGCGCAGAAACGAAAAGATCACGTGGTTCGCGCCGGTAGGTGGGGCGTACCATTCAAACCTGCGCGGCTCGAAACGGCCCAGGGTTCTTTTGTTTCTGGTATTACTATAGTATGAGTTTCTCCGCCGACGCTCAAGGAAGCTAGATGGCTCTCCTCGGGGGCCCCATCAGGCACAGTCGGCCTGTTTAATTACTCCATAGCGTAGAAAATAATGCAAAAATTCAAACAAAAAAACTGTCTTTGAATAATATTACACAAGGTAACAGATGAAAATGGATGTGTAAATATTTCTATGAAGTCTTCATTGTCAACGTCGAAGAAGTGCGTGGCAAACAGTTTCACCGGGGGTCATCTGAACAGAAACATGGCAAAACACATACTATATAAAAACAACTTGAACACTGTAACAGAAAATAAGTCGTGACATTCGTTGGTAGAAAGTAGTCACGGCTCAGTTTCAATCATCTTACCTAAACCAACTGCGTCAAGGTTGGATAATATGATAATATTTTTAAAACCAGTGTAAAGTGTTCAAAATCATTAATTCCTAATGTTTGTCCATTAATTACTCCATAGCGTGGAAAATAATGCAAAAATTCAAACAAAAAAACTGTCTTTGAATAATATTACACAAGGTAACAGATGAAAATGGATGTGTAAACATATTCTAGGCTTTTGTTTTTTGTTCAAACGACTATTACTTTCTCCCCCTATACCATAGTATATGGAGAAGGTATTGTTTTCGTCAAAATTTTCGAGTTTGAGTTTTGAGTGGATATATCCGTTTTGGGTCCCCCTGGTACAAAAAAAGAGGTTTTCGGAGTGATGTCTGTGTGTATATGCGTGTGTGTCTGGATGTGTACAGAGCTACAGACCACACCTTTCGTCCGATTTTGATGAAATTTGGTATGTAGGTACTAATCTGTGCAGGGTGTCCACATTCTGGAAAGTCAGGGATAGTCATGGAAAGTCATGGAAAAAAATTATGGTCATTGAAAGTCATGGAAATAGGCAATAAGTCATGGAAAGTCATGGAAATCCCCAATGATGGATGGATTTCAGGAATGCTTTCAATGCTCTAGTCAGCCGTAACCGCGACTATTGTAGCATTTTTCCAAATTTTTCAGAAATGTACAATTTCAATTTATACAGTTGTCTTAGTTTATGGGTTTTGATCTTGTATTAGTTCATTATTGTACTCCATTGTTATCTGTTAATGTATATTTCAATATTTTCTGTGAAATAACTTGTCTAGGCAGTATTATTTGTGTGTGTACGGTATATTAGAATTTTTGAGTTAAGTTCGTGAGTCATGGGAATCAATGGTTAATGGTCATGGATAGTCATGGAAAGTCAGGGAAATTTATGACAAAATTTCTGTGGACACCCTGCTGTGGTATCTCAAGGAATTTTTTTAAATTTTTAATTTTAGTGTTGTTTTTCCCATAAAAACCCATAAAATAACGGAAAAAATCGAATTTTCTCAAAAATGGCCCAAACAATTTTGATAAAAAATTAGTATGTTGTAGCCCTTTGTATTCTCAACAAAATGGTAGAACTCCCATTTGTGTAAAGATTACGGTTCAAAAGTTATTGTAGGTAAATTATGTTATTTTTAGGGGTCTGCGGGTCAGACTTTTTTGGTTCGGGTCGGGTCGGGTCGGGCCGATAATTTTGGTCCTCGGGTTTCGGGCCAAAATCGGGTCGGGCCAAAAATTATTAATTACCAGATTTTTTTTCTTTTTTTAACTCCTATCTGTGTTTATAATATTACTTAAAAATAACATATGAAAAACGATTGTATTTATGTATATTATTTCATGTTCATAACTTATTTACAGCTTAGGAGTTGCCTCAACTGCAAGAAAGAAGAAAATAATTTTTTTTATCAAGCCATTCTTTCCCATTTTCATAACTGTTGAAATATCTAAACAGCTATATTACAACAAGTTTGTAATGGAACTTAATATAAAAGGATCATAAACAAATCAATTAACCTTATCTCAAGTTTAGGGCCTGTGGACTGGCTTAAAGACTGCAAGCAAGAAGAAAATAAAAATTCTATGTTTCCACCATGCAATATGAATCATTCATTCCCTGCCTCCTAACCTCCTAAGTATAAAAACCTCACACTTACAATAGCATTATTAGTTACATCATCATAAATAAAGAATTATTTATTATTGGCATTACTAGGCCTACAGCTTTACATAGGAATTATTTTTTATAGGGCCTAAAATAGTAATAGACTAAGCAACATGACAAGTGGAGAACTCATTGAAGAAAAGATTGTGTGTAAACTAATTCACTTTAAAAACTTTAAAATACCCCCGCCGCAGCAAACCTGCAGACTAAGCGAATTTCCATTTGACTGATTGGATTTACACTGAAATGTCTACTTAAAAATATAACATTTATTCTTGATTTAAATAGAATTAGTTTAACAAGTACTTAGGTTTGCTGCATCAGGGAGGGTAAAACTGTTTTTTTTTTTTTTTGTAAAATGTGAATAGTTAGTAAGAAATAAAAACATTTTCCAAATTTTATCAAAATATGTTCACAAACAAGCAAACTACAACAGTTTACTTATTCTCCATAAGAATAACATGGGAATTTTAAATGTACAATTTTTTGGTATTTTCTCCGTAACCATTAGGCGCATAATAACGCTTCAATATACTAAATTATTTGTTTTTTTAAGCTCTACAAAATGGTTTGGAAAGAAATTGCTAAATTTTATGTTTTTTGGGTCAAAAATGGGAAAAACCTATTTTTACCCCATAAAACCCCCCGTAAACCCCCGTTCCCATGGTCCGATCATGCTGGATCGCGAACTCGTTCGAATAAACGTACGTTTACACGTTTGTACCAAATTTCATCAAAATCGGATCATTTTTGCTCGAGTTATCGTGCTGACGGACACATATATATATATATAAATATATAAATATATAAATATATATATATATATATATATGAATTTGAACGGATGGTGTTTTTGGCCTCTAGGGACCTCAAAACAAAAAAAAAAATAGGTCCCGCGTCCAGGTCTTACCATGAGTACTACGGTAATAGCTTATTCCCTATATGGGAAATTCGCTAACAGTAAATAACACACATACATTGTTTATGGTATAGTTAGTTATAGTAAAGACTGTAAAAATTGCATATATCATGTCATACACAGTTATAGACCTACGGTATTGCAAGAGATTAAAATCCTAAAACAACTGATTTTAGCTAATAAATGAAAAGAATTAAAAATCCATAAACTCAAGTCAAACAATATCACAATTATTAGGTACCTGAAAAGGAACTCTTAATATATAGAAAATTATATTAAATCAATAGAAAAGAAAGTTAAATGCTAATTTGGCAACATAAGCAGACAGCAGAGACATTATAGTGTCCTAATTAGCAACACAACTCAATGTTTTTATACTGTAAGTCGATGTTTTTGAAACTGTAGGGTCTTTTTCTCGGAAGGAAGGGGGAAGGGTAGTAGAATGTAAACAAAAAACCATGAATCACTCTCACAGCCGGGCCCGGGGACACTCAAGGTTACAGACCCTCCCCCTCCCCTCACCGCCCCTCTTACACAACCAGAGCCAGGCCCAGGGACACTCAAGGTCATAGACCCTCCCCCTCCCCCACCCCTATTACACCACCCGATTGTTCCAATTGCTGACAAAATGCAAGTAACGAAACAAGGAAGTAGAGACAAAAAGATATATTTTCTTTATTCAAAAATATAAAACTGTTACAGATAATTTCCAAAGAAATTAATTCATGGTAGTTTGTGTCTTGTAAATATTGTATTGGATCTTAGAAATATCTTTTTTGAAACTCAATCTAACTTCTAAGAAATCTAAGAAAAAAATAATTTTACTGATAAAAACTTTCATAAAATTATAAAACATTTAGGCCTAACCTCTTTGTAGACTTGCTGATACTTGATACTTAAAAAAAAATTAAATGGTGACCATACAATGCCGAACCAGACGATCAGAAGTGTTGTTTTGTTTTGTTACTGAATGACAAAAAGGACACAGGAAAATAAAAGAACAAGATACAGATCTGTATACTATATCAGATATTTCTTTTGTTTATAATTTATTATGTAAATAAAATACTAAAATATATTTTAAACTAGGTATGGAATAAACAATAAATAATTAAACTGGTACCTCTGGATAAATAGTCTTTCTTTTGACTTCGTTTTCTTTGCACTGTTGCGTCACGGCTTTTGTTTTGTCAGTAGACGACTGGCTCTGGCTAGTGACAGTACGGCATTTGCTCTGTTGTGTCTTTGTTCTAAACGTGAGCAAACTTAATATTTAATTATAATTTTAACGTTTTAATTCCTCTGTAATAATATATATAAGAGTGTTTCTTTGAAAATTACTTATTATAACTTTGAAAATAATATTTTTTTTTTTTGGCCCGACCCGATCTTGGCCCGAAAAAATCTCTGACCCGACCCGGTCTCTCGGGCCTTCCGCTGGCCCGACCCGACCCGAAAAAATCGGGGACCCGCAGACCCCTAGTTATTTTCCCATAAAAACCCCATTAAATAGGAGAAAATCTTATTTTTGAAAGAAACCTGATAAGATTGAAATTAGTATGTGATAATCCTTATAATTCAAAACAACATAGTGCAACCCCCATTGCTGTAAACAATTTTGTTAAAAAGTTATTGTAACTTATGTTATTTTCCCATAAAAACCCATATTAAAAACGGAAAAATTGATAAAAAAAAATCTATTCTGATTTAAATTCTTCTGTTATGGTCCTTATAATTCTAAACAAAATAGTGCATTCCTTCATTCCTGTTTAAACTATTGTTCAAAAGATAATGAAACTTTTGTGATTTTACCTATGAAATATCATAGTAACTCTCATCGCTTACCCATGATAAAGGTTGTTGACAAGCTAATGGGAGAAAGTATGTGTCAGATTGCTGATACCGTTTATTTTTCATGTTTTAAAAGCATCATCACAAGTAACATTCAAAATAACACAAACAGACTAAACAAAAACAACACTATTCAACACTATATTCGAGGTTCTACTGTATGAGATATACATTATTCTGAAATCATCATACCACAAAAAATATTTGTAGCGATTCAACAGAACTCAGTTGTACACAGATAAGATAATCAATCAAGTAAGGTTAAAACCAAGGATCAGCTTATCAAAACTCTGCTGTTACAACATTTTTAATTTTTGTATGTAAAATGATGAAGCATTTTTCAGACACTGAAGCCTAGCACTCAGTTTGTACAAGCTTTATACTGGAGTGTAGTTGATGAGTTTTATGTTGGCAGCACTGTACGGCAGAGACGCCAGTAGTCCAGTGGTTCTGGCAGATAGTAGAGTCGTACAGTGAGGAGATGCGAGCGAGATTGCTGCAGTTTGTGACTGGGAGCAGCAGAGTGCCGCTACAGGGCTTTAAGGCATTACAGGGTGAGTTGGAAGTATCAGGTCATACTACAGTATTAGTTAAACTAATAAGTTTCCCTCCTCTAATAGTGAAGAGGTTTGAAGAGGTGTAGATGGTCCATATTTTCCAATTTTAGCTAAGATTTTAATCTCCAACACCAACACCATGGCACCTGATCAAGCTGGCTAGAGGTCATAGCTTCCCCACGTAGGTACAACTTGCTAAGTAGCATTGTTTCCACCCTGCTTCATCATAAGATAAGCATGCAGTCATATTAAGAGTCCTTGGAGTCTAGACCTTCTAACTCGTAAAACAATTTAAAACCTACAAAGAAAATTTCTAATCGAACGGTTTACTAGATAATTAAATTACAATCACTCTGGTGTTTGAAAAAAATATAACACTTCAGCAGCTGCTTGAAATTAATGAAATTAATATTGCTCTCATGGCGGGCAAATCCAAGATGGCCACTAGCCTCCAAGGACTCTTAAGAGAACCCATAACTCTAACTTGATTTGCTTTCTGGCAGCAGCAGAAAGCACATTCAAAGCATTAGGCAGTGGAAATTAGTTGTTGTGGGCCCAACTTTTACCTTGGTAATTTTTATTAGCCTGTGGATGAAAATGAAATGAAATGAAAGGATATTGAGGAGGTGGTACTTAAAGATATAGTAATGCATTTTGGTGTACAGGTTCAACCGGTGCTGTTGGCCCGAGACTATTCACTGTTCATGTCATTGACGCACCTCAAGAGAACCTACCGAAGGCGCACACCTGCTTCAACCGCATCGACCTCCCAGCGTATGACAGTTACCAGCGTCTCCAAGAGAAGCTCACACAGGCCGTCGAGGAGACGTGCGGTTTTGCCGTCGAGTAACACGACACAACCGCAAGCACGCCACTGTTGATATTATAGTATATATATATATAGTCTGGGACTGGAAGTGTGTTTTTACCAATGATATGGTTGGAACAAATTTGGCTCTTAAACCTTCATGGATTTTCTTTTAATTATTAACTCAAACAAATATTCTCATAGAGCTGATTTATTTTATCATTTAGTAAATGTGTGTTGCTATTTATGCTTTAAACAGTTTTAATATTTGTTTTTAAAGTTCGATCAAAGTAAACCCTCACACCCAGTTCCAGACAGTTGTTAGAATTTTGTAAATTATATTCGCCCGCTTTAAGAGTATTTTTATAAAGGAGATGTGTTGATGAGTGTTTTATTGTTAGTATTTGGTAGCACTGATATTTTAATACCTCACTGAAGTTGGAATGCAATCGATGGTGGTATAATTATTTTTTAGTTTGTAGAAGTGAAGTTCACTAATATTTTATCTGTCGACAATAATTTCAGTAACTTTGATGTTAGTGCTAATTTTGTGAGACAATAAGTCTGGTTTGTAAATATGTGATGTTAATTTGGTAAGAAAACCACAGTATCTAGCATGAAATTAACTGTTTTAATTGAAATACCATATTCATTACTGGTTTGCTTTACCAGTTAAACTTTAGAACAAATGGAAAATAATTTTACCTATGGAAAAAAATTATAGCCTGTGATGAACTATTGCAAACTTTTAAATTAAATTAAACACGTTGGTCTATATTCTTTCTTATATCTCAATAGTGGAAAGAAACTATTTGATGAAATACTCCTGTTGTGTATATAGACATTGTGTATAGCTATGTATATAGATAGGTTAACTTAAGATATTTCCTTGCAAATATTTTTGTAATTTGTAAACTAGGTTTTTGGGCTCAGAGGTATTGCTGAATTTTTTTGTAAGTTCATGACAATTTCATTGGAATATTTGAGCAGTGCTATATACATAATGATTAGAAGCGATGTTTCAATTGAGAATCTCTTACAAGGTCTATTGAAGCATTACAATATTTTTAGTGCAGTAAAGAAATACCCCCGCCGCAGAAAACCTACAGACAGCAATATCCATTTGCTTAATTGAATCGTCAATAAAAATACCTGGGGACCGTGCTTTGCTCGAGGTATATCATCTCACTGTCCTCCAGTCATAAATTAAAAACCTCTTTTACTTGGTTTAAAACTATCTTTTGTTGATGTTTATGATTACAATTTTCATTGTTAATTCGTTGCCAAAGTAGTAACCCATAAAGTAAGAATGTAAAACTAAATTAATTAGGTACCTTACCGTAATCCCATCACAGCTCAACAATTTTTGTCAAATTAGGACATGTTTCGGTGTTAAAACGCCAATCCATAAGGTAGGGATGTAAGACTAAATTACTTACATAATCCTGTCACAGCTCAACAATTTTTATCAAATTAAGACATGTTTTGGTGTTAAAACACCATCGTCAGCTTCAGATACTTGTAGAGTTGATCAGTTGTAGACATCGTCAAAACGTTAACACAGTACAGCTCGAACAAAATTTCGATAAAGTACAAAGAGAAACATTGAAACATTTTAAAACAGGCCTGTTCTAACATAAGTTGACCGACCGCACAGGTAGTAAGGGACAGACTGGACCAGCTTGTCTATCCTTATCAATTGTGTGTGTGAGAGATATATTGGGCAAGAGATATTGTTGTTATAAAGAAAAAGGAAACTGTTGTAGTTTGTTTGTTTGTTGATTAATTTTGATTAAGTTTGACAAATTTATTTATTTCATACCAACAAACCAATCTATTAATAGTTTAGCAATAAACACTTGTTCTTTCCCTGTAGTAGCAAAATTAAGTACTCATTAAATCCAACTAGCTGTAACCCTCGGGCCTCACCCCGTTTGACTTCATAAGTATTAATAAAACTATTGATAGTTAAGCTGAAACAAAACAGAATACAGTAATACAAACAAATAATCACACCTGATTTTAATAAGGTAATAAATTGAAAGAATAACAAACAAATAAGTACAGCTGAGGTATTTTTAACATAAGGTACATGGAAAGGTATATGGAAAGTTCCCTTTAAAAAGGAATTACAACCTTAAAGGCCAATTTATGAAATAATGGATAGTTTTGCGCAAGGTTTCTCGGCATGACGAACATTTCAGTATAGGGTTTATGGGGGTGTGACTTTTAGTTTTCTCAAAAGTTCATGGGTACTTTGGGATTTATATATGGGTGTTATTTAAATATGAAATAAATCTGTCAAGTTTAGGAAAATATTTTAGAAAATGTCCAATAAAATCAAATAAAAATCTGCTTAGTTTTCAAGTTTGCTGCGACAGGGTAATTTTGGTGTTTAAGTTTGTAGAATTTAAGTACATTAAAAAAATGTATTGGAGCAAAATGGATGTGCAGATTTAAATCGTTTAATTTTTTTGGAGTTCACCTTTTGTATTGCATTGATCGAAGAACAATTTTTTATTTTCACTTATTAAAATCTTACTCTGATGCAAGTCTGAGCCCAAAACCTACTAGACAGTGTGATATTGTAGAATAGTATCCCACGCTTGCCTTACATCCCTACCTACGCTTCTTCAGCACAAAGTCTACCGAGAAGTGCCTTTTGGTTTAAAGTGCCTAATCGAATCTACTTAACACTAAAGACACATGACAAGAAAAATAGCAATGTGCATTTTTAGATTAGTGTGTTTTCAATTCGACATGTTGTGCTTTTCAATACTGCTAGTTCTGACTTACATAAAGGATTTGCGTGCAATAAAGATTTATGTTACCATTAATACATCAGTTAATACTTGTTCCATAGATAATTCAGTGAAGATTTTCATTGCTAAATACAAGTTGTTTATATTATACAATAACTAGCTCATTGATGGATTTTGGATAATAATTAAACTGTCCTCAAACATATCACAGAGATTGCAAATAGGAAGTATGAAATTACCTTATGAAGGTGCTAAAGGCGTGTCTTTTAAAGTTATCTAAATAAATTTATAAACTAACTGTATCATGTATTTTGTTTTATGCACACATAATGCACATCACGTTTATTAACACTTACAATCAGATATTATTACATGTACATGTATGTTTACAAATTTATATATGGCATTTTTATCAAAACAACACTGCCAATTTAGCTCATGATATATTTGAATGGGAAAACTTCAAATTTTTGTATATTGTTTTGTATTATTTGTTTGTAATGTAATATTTATGTACAGTAATAAAAAAAAATATTGAGAATGTTTTAGAGTTCATTTCTTGTTTAAAAACATCTAACTCACGTAATGCACTGTGATTTATGTTTTATTTTCACTTCAAAAGTTTGCTTTCTCATTTAGTTGTATATTTATTAGTCCATGTCAACATAATATATTGTTAAAATATTTTATTTAGTACCAATCTGATAATAATAGTTAAGTATAAGTGATATCTTTATTGAAAAGAGATAAATTATTGGATATTTTGTACATTTTGGAGTTTATTAAAACTGTATCTAGTTATCTTTTGGCTTCACTAAGTTTGTACCCCCTTTTTCAATGTGAATGTGTAGCAAACTTGGAACTAATTCCATCAGTAGACGCAATGTGGCAATGATGCCAAATTTCAGTCCAACTAATTAGGGTTTACAAACAAATGTAACAATTTATTATGTTTTATGTTATTTTGGATTTGATATAAAAATAAATACAGTAGCTACATTGAGAAAACTATTACAGCTTTGACTATTGACGTAAGAATCCAATAGTCAATGGTTATAGTGTCACTGGTGTTGGTCCAAGGTTCTACAAAGCTCTACATGCCAAAAATAATACTATAGTCATGGTCATAGTATTGTAATAAATAACTACTCTGAAGGAGAACTCCAAAATAAATTTAACTAAATAAGTTTTAAGTTAGGCTCATTTAAATGAATAAATTTTGAACAGTGTCCTAAGTAGTAGTTGGTAAATTCACACCATTTAAAAAGTGGCCCTAGTTCAAGATTTGCAATTTTAAATAGCTTCAGCCAAAAATGGCATTGGTGAAGTTAATCTAACTAAACACATATATGTCCTCAATATCACGGCCTTATCTAAAAAAAAACTTCCCTGAAAATAACCACCTAATTTTCCGCTGGTGTGTCAAAAACATGTTTTCAAGCTAACAATAGCAGATGGTGTAATTGTTCGATTGATTCGTAAAGCTAATATAACGAGAAATATGTTTTGATGTTGGATCACCCAATTAGCATCAGAGATAAATTGCATTTTTCCGAGGCTATCTACGCCACTGGGGGTCCTGATAACCCTGGGGGGATTGTCCCCCCCCCTCAAGTCAAGGCTCGTTTTAAATTCATCAAGCCATTATTATCTTCATTCTTGCTCTCAGTAGTGGTTGAACTGTTGCTTATTTTACCTTCATTCTATCCAAGTAATGATGTCTGGATTTGATGCCGTTTGGATTACCACAGTGAGTTATTGTGATTTTGTTATTTTGTATAGTGCTATAGCTATAGGTGTATATTGAAAAATATAATCGACCACCCATTTTTACTTAAAACTTAATTATTTCAGTAAAATCATACTGTATACCTAAATGTTTTATTTTAGGATATCAGAATATTTGGGCCTTTTTTCAGAAGAGGGCCACCACTATTTAAACTGTGGAAAACCCACAGTTTAGGTTAGGTGATCTTTTTATTTTTTGTGATCATTACAGTTCAGAAGACAAAAAAACTTGTTAGTAAAAATATAAACTAACCTAACCCAACTTAAACTGTAGTCCTCCCACAGTTTAACAAGTGGCGACCCTCTTCTGAAAAAGACCCGAATATTTATTTATTAAATGCTACCAATATCAGTGGCAATATATTGGACTTAAGCTATCGATTTGCTTAAATATTGGTTTACTAGAAATGCCTAGCATAATCTTCAAGCAAAATATCTATATTATATAGTATGTGTGATGGAACCTGTCCTCTGACCCTCCATTTACCTTGGACTGGCCTGGGTCTCAAACTATTGGCCATCCTCCAGGTCAGGAGACAGGTTCCATGTACAGAATATAGGCATTGACTTTATATCTGTCAATGATATAGGGTTAATACGGATTTGGGCTTCCGTACCATAATGAACTACACTTGTATTGTATCAAATTAAAGCTTTTGCTCACTAAATTTCCTTTGAGGATCTTGATTAAAATCCAAGGAGGGAAGGTGATCTTGTTCAGAGTATAATATCAAACAATCTAAAGCTGTAAATATATTGATGGTAATGTTGTTGGTCTCTAGCTAAAGATACCAAAGCAGAAATGAAATCAAAAATTATTTATTTTCAGACAAAATTCTGTACAATATAATACAAATTTAACAATTAAATACATTGTAAATATTACAATACAACTAAATAGAATACCTATAGAAATATAAAACGAAATAGGAATTGATATAATCAGGAGCAGTTATGTAATCAATATTTTTTTACAGCTCATTATTTCCTTTTTTACTAAAATAATGTATTTCATTCCATAATTGATTATATTTGTAATTTATCAAGCTTCTCTGAATTTCACCAAAGTTTCTTACACCTCTTTGTTAAAAGTGATTATCACAAATCTGACCACCAATGAAGAGCAATACGAAAAACATTGACCCAGATATCACGTGGTTCTGAACTGTTGCGGGGGGCGAGGTCGAGGGTTATCGAGTAGGAGAGTAGTGAAGAAAGTTCACATGGAAAGGAAATAAGCGTAATTTGATGAATAATTACATTGAGTGGTTATGGAAAAATGCAGTGTTTGGAATTTAAAAGAAATGATTCATTGTTACACTGCTTTTATTTTAATGCCAAATTTGTAATTTTAATAAAAGCCTAAGATATATTAATTTGCAGAGTAAAATTACTTCCCCTTGATAAAGATGAGGATTTTAACAATCCCCCACAAAAAAACTGTAAACCAGGTAAACTAAAACAAATATTAAAATCATTTCCCACCGAAGACAATTTTTTAGGTTTTCAATTAAGATCAGTATTGTGTAAAACAAATTTAAGGAAGGATTGTAGGGTTTCTGCAATTGCATACATAATCTATCATCGTCTAATATTATTACAGAATATTTTTTCAAAAGGCTTTAATTTTTTCAGTGAACCCACATTAAGAATAAACAGTGACAGAAACCCGCTTTTTGGAAGCATCAAATAGTTATTTGTGCAACTAGTGAGAAAAGTGAGCAATTGACTCACTCGAGAGAAATCCTTACTCACGAGCCGTAGGCGAGTATGAGCCGCAGACCCCCAAACCGCTATTCCATATCGTAGATGGCTTTCAAAAAGGCCGTGCGTATCACGCCCTAGCACACCGCACAAGCACAGCCTCTTGGAATGTTTATGCTAAATTGATCAATTAAATAGGAAATTTGCAGGTTAAGTTCTTGGAATTCATACATTTAATTTACTTATACAGTGTGATTGAAAAGTCCCGGAACGGTTTAATATTTTAAAAAATAATGCAGATAGAACTAAAATACTTGGTACAAAGTTACAGGGCATAAAACTCTATTTTAACACATATTCAGTGACTCAATAACTCTACAGGGGGACGTCCCACAAGGAGTCAGAAGAAAATATTAAATGGAAGCATAGGTCAATATGCACATCAAATTAAAGGTCTTTTTTATTAGAATACAATGCCGCAAACCGCACTTCAAAAGGTTGATCCTGCGCAACATGACAGTTGTTCAACGATTCATTTAATTTACATTGCTATTATACGCTTTCTCCTCAGGGGGCACAGCCCTAGGAATCGGAAGAAAATTGTTAACGTAAGAATAGGTCGATATGCACATCAAATTAAAGGTCTTCACTTTTAGATTACGATGCCGTAAATTCAAGCTCAAAAGAATGCCTGAGTAAAAAATGGCAGTCGTTCAAAGATTCAAAATGGCGGATTCAAGAAATCTTTGAACATCTGCCATTTTGTGCAAGATCAACCTTTTGAAGTGCGGTTTGCGGCATTGTATTCTACTAAACAAGACCTTTAATTTGATGTGCATATTGACCTATGCTTCCATTTAAGATTTTCTTCCGACTCCTTGTGGGCCGTCCCCCTGAAGAATTATTGGATCACTGAATATGTGTTAAAATAGAGTTTTGTGCCCTGTAACTTTGTACTAAGTATTTTAGCTCTATCTGCATTATTTTTTAAAATATTTAACCGTTCCGGGACTTTTCAATCACACTGTATATACTATATTCATTTAAAATCTCAAATCACTGACAAATCCAAATTCAACTTCTGTGTAGAGGTCTTTGACTATCTTTGGTAACCACTGAGCTAAAATTATAACTGGAGGTAGCACTGCCATGGCAGAAGTCTGTCAAAAGCGAGTCGCTGATTTTGTTAGGTTGGTATAGCAGTAAGTTTTCTATAGCAATAACATGGCTTCTTATAACTCGGTTGGTATAGCAGTGAGTATTTTTGTCATACTTGAATACTTTTAATACTTTAATAATTTTCTTTGAAATGGCGACCATACAAAGTAGGTATTTTAAGCCAAGTATAATAATAGCCATAGCAATAATATGGCTTCTTATAACTCACACCTCACGCAAACATGGCGGCTGGCGACACGCATCTTTGACATTCAGTGCTACCTCCAGTTAGAATTATAGCTCAGTGTTGGTAACCAACGTAACAAACAACAAAATGACGTCAAGGTGAAGGTCAGTTGCTTTATTGCTTGTTAAATTTTTTTTTAGCAGACGACAAAATAGCAAACTAACAACTAACAACACCGTGACCGTGGGTGTAGGGATCGTAAGGACAGGACATGCTTACAACTTACAGAGTGAAGTTTACATTAGTCGCAATTAAGTATAATATCAGTTCTGTTGAATCAATCGTACTCGAATTATCATCATGAGTTGATTGGTCTCCTTTGTGTGCTGATTAGTGTTTATTCAACATGGAAACATTGAAGAAAAGAAAACTGTTATCTCATTTTATCTTAAAACTATAACCTATAATTTAATCTTTCGATAGTGATATCAAGGAGGTCAACAAGATATTTTATGTGGTCTTGAGTGCTTGGTGCTTAATTTATAAAAATATTGCCTTTACTCAGCATCTAATTTAAAAAATTAGTTTCTTGAACTATACAAATATGAACAGAACGCCTATCTTACTTTATTGATAGCCTATGTTAAAAGTTTTTCTTGTGCACAGTGGTTCTATAAATAAAGTAATTTACATACCAACACCTGAGCCTATCCCTATGTTCAAAACTAACAATTCTTGTAAGGCTAGGATATTTTATCATCTTTGTCCAAAAGTTTCACCTGAGGTCACAAGCCTAAGTGTACATCGTCTGGAAGAGTTCTAGAGCGGAAGAGATTTTGCATGTCTCAAAAAAGATTAGAAAAATAAGTTTAAATTGGCCTTTAAGGCATGGTATTCTTGTCTCGTGTGTTTAAATTATAATGGCAGAAGATATTGTCCATGATCTAAAAGAATATGTCGGAAATGTAAGTTGCCAAAGTTGCCTTAGTTTTATGTTTTTTGTTAACTTACGGCCTAATTGAAATGAAATATTATTAGGTAGGCTTGTGTATTTTGGGAATCTAAAATGGTGTTTACAGATGTACCATCCAATTAAGTACTTAAGTTACACTATCGACTTTTGGCTACTGAAGTTGACATCCCATCCATAGAAACCAGTTTTTAACCTTTGCTTTCTTGGATTTTGTTACTATTTAGGAGGCCTTGTCTATGTTAAATAAAAGATGCCATATTTTACAAGTTGTTCTTGCGACTGCACTTTAGTTTACCCCCATATTTATTCACATACATCGTATTCAATTGTCAGAAATCAGTTATAGGCTAAGTTACATCAGAACACACAATACTGTATTGTTTTATTATAAATTTAATTTATTATTGAATTAAATTTCCCCCCAAAACGTCCTACCATTACAGTAGGTAATTTAACTAGACGTAATTTTTTTATTATAACATATAGGCAACAAACACATTTTGACATAGGAATGGAATGTCTAGTTCTAGCCGCTAAGTTACTGTGCTTATTCAAGAAATAGGAACATTAAAGGGTGGGGTTTTCAACATCACACAAATTGGCCTCAGTCATGTGGACATTTTAATAAGGTAGCAATGTTTTGGGGATTTTGTCAGTATTTTTTTTTATTTAGCTGGTCATCAATTAATAAATTTTTCTACCTGAACGCTAAGTTCCAGTTTTCATGTGATGAACTGTCTAGGCTAACTTAACATGTAACAGTGTAGCATCTGTTTAAAAATTTCCTTATCTTAGTACCTACCGGTACGTAGTAGGGATATCCTCATAGTAGTTTAAAACGGTTTTTGAGATTACATAGACCCGTGGACTATTTACTTAACTACAGCCAATTTAAAAAATTGACAACATAAGAAGCCTTAACATAAGTATGCTATTTATGGTGGTACAGCCATGCCAACATTAATAACACTATGGAAACTTGAAACTTTCAGATTATTTAATTACTAATAAGTTTCTTTTTCAGTCCCCAGTCTTGAAGGCGTTTCTGGCTGGCTCTATCTCAGGAACATGTTCTACTGTTCTGTTTCAACCTCTTGATCTTGTCAAGACTCGTCTACAGTCTACAAAACACGTCGCCACTCTTGCTCGGTAAATAAATATTTTACTTGAAGATACAATTTCCACAGTAGTAGACTTTAGGTAGTTTAACTTAAATTCTATACTTAGGTGTGTTAAAAATATTTTTATTGAACAGTTTAGGTACGGTACCTAATTTATCATGAAAAAATCACACCTATAAAAAAAAATGTATTAAATGAAGTTAAGACTCTTTTAATTAATGTTGGCCCTAATATAATAATTCAATTCCTGCCTATTGGCATGCTAGTTTTATATAGGCTACTGTATTATCAGTTTCAAAGTCCCTGGTTTTCTATCCTACTTGGTCCCGGTATCAAAGTCACCAATTAAACATTTTTTAAGAGAATTTATATAGGTACCTATTTATTTTTCAGACCAAGAATTGCTAGCACTATTGGTATGATGGAAACCTTCAACAGTATTATACAAAAAGAGCACCTGTTTGCTCTTTGGAAAGGAATGATTCCAGTAAGTAAAAGAGTGAATTAGTAATAGCAATGTCTAAGTATTAAGTTATTTTTATGTTTATTACTCACACATGGGTATCAAGCATTTAATTATGAACTCAAGTACCTAATTGTTTCCGTGTTTTATATGGAACTGTATATTTTTCTTAAAAATAGTCCATTCTGTATTAAAACATAACCAAATCACTGGTCGGGAAGATATTCTATTTCAGTAGTGTTGTGGTTGCTGTACGGTGTATTATAGGTGAGTCGGTGGCTCAGTTGGTAGCGTCACGGACTTCGGGCCCAAGGCAGCGATGTCGTCGGTTCAGAAAAAAAATTATTTGATTGATGATCACCTGAGGACTGCAACCTCATCATTCATTTGTCAGATTCACTTTTTCTGTCCTCTTTACCTTTAGCAGTCTGTACAAAGATCATGAAAGTGATTTCCGCTTATTCATATCCACCTTAAAAATATTTACCAGAGTATGTCCGCATCATGCTACAGCGAGTCTACTCTTTCCAATGCTATATACAGTCACAAAAATGTAATAAAACCATGTAAAATAGATTAAATAATTTAATTTATTCCCACAATATATGGGACCTAAAGCTGCCTTCAACAATAAAAAAATTGATTGCATATCAAAATTTCTGAAAACACTTAAGATTATGGTTTCTGGAGAAGGCACTTTATTCACTAGATTTCCTAAAAAAATTATAATTATTTCCAAGTATTTTGTATTTTGGTTATTGTTGTTTGTTTTTTACAATAGATTTTAGTTTTAAGACAAATCACCTGTCAAACATTGATGTAACTAATAAGTAAATAAATATCTTAGCCTACCTCTAATGTCCTCTACCTACAGAAGATCACAACTGGAACGAAGGTCTTAAGAAACTTAAGTCAACATGCACCATTTTCTATTTCTTACCACCTGTTCCAGAGTTTGACCAGGTGTGTGCCAGGGGTTGGTTTGTACTTTGGCTCCATGCACTGGATGAAGTCCAAGTTCACAGATGGGCGACCGACAGCTACACAGGCAATGATGATTGGCATCGTGGCTCGTTCCATCAGCGGCATCTGTCTCATCCCCATCACTGTAGTGAAGACTCGTGTTGAGGTACCTCAATCTATATTATTAATTTGCTACATGAAACTTTAGCGAGAATAAGGCTTTTTTGTTTAAGATTTAAACCTACATATTATATAATATCAAAATGTTCGTCTAGGTGTGTAGATTTGCAAACTGACCTTACATTTTTTTTTTAAGTCCCTTGGGCTCTGCCCCAGTGGCTTTTAAAATTCCCATGTTATCCTTATGAAGAACATATTTGTTTACATTATGATCAGCTGGATAATTTGATTGCTGTTAATATTTTAGTTGAAATTTAATGAAACATGTGCTAATAACATTCACTGACTTGGTTGAAATGAAATATTTACTACTAGGTGAAACCCGTCGAAATTGACGGTTACTTTCAAGGCTTACGTTAATTCATCTAACTGCGATAAATTGAGTGAAATTATACATATTTTGATCATTTAGCATTGTTTAAAGAGTAATAAGTATAAAAGCAATAATGATATTAATTGCATTTGTTACCAAATATGGTTCGGAGTTATTATTAGTATGTTATCTGGTATCTCTTCCTTTGGAATAATCTTTAAGTAGTATTAAAATCGTATTGGTGGATCTTTTGTAGTTAAACACTTCTGTGATTTCATCAGTGTAATGCAGATTGATCTATGATTTGTTTTGAAAAAAATATCTGTTTGTTGGGAAGACACGTTCCTACTTCTAAGGGAGGTATATCCGTTACAGTGTAAGTTTGATTTTTCCTTTGGCACGTCGCGTCAGTCATGTCGTACTTCTGTGCCATGAATAACCCTATACCTATCATAGTTTTGAGAAATTGGTTGTGGGGTTACTATTAAAGCTGGAATTCCTTGACATGGGGGATGACAGTTAGTTGTCTCAGCCTTATCAATTACATAAAGTTGTCAATGTAATCTCTCTCTACGGAATGTTAGGCGTAGTGGAATATAGGCCTACTTGAAGTGAAGTTGGCTTTTATTCTTGAACTGTTAGGGGCTTCCTCGTTTATATGGTTGTGTGGCTTCATTGGCAACAAATAATGCAAATGACATAGCAACGTGGCATTTACAAAAAGCAAAAAATACTGTAGATTGGCTGTTACGTAAATATTGACGTTTACATGCATTTTTAATCAACATATCTTATAAAGGATGATGTGTTCTAGTTTAAAAGGAATATGACCTTTCTGTCATGACATTAGCTGCTTAAATAGTATTTACTCATTGTGCCATTTTTTACAGCCAAAATGTCGTGTTATTTTCAATAATGTTACCAACCCAGTGAGCTACGGTCCGTTAAACTTACTCGGTTGAAAATGCTATCAATGACAGTGACATATTATAACTTCCAATTTATTGTGTGTAATATTAGGACTATTGACAGATTAGTCTAAATCTTATACAATGGTATGGTTGATGTTTTCAGAGTGGAGAGTACAAGTATCATGGCGTGGTGGATGCCCTGAGACATATCTACCGTGCAGAGGGTGTCCGAGGACTGAGTTGTGGTCTTCTACCTACACTGTTCCGTGACGCTCCATTCTCCGGCCTATATCTGGTGTTTTACAGCCAGATAAAACAGACGCTGCCTAAAGGTAAACTTTTGATTAGTGCATCTTATTACCACAGATACAAGAATTAAATCTAAACCGACATCTATGCTGCGGTTAGCATACATTCTGGCGTCCACCGCTAGGGGTGCCGTGTAGTTTCGGCACACACTGCTGCAGCATCAAGCGCTATAGACCAACAGCTGTGCTGCGGTTAGCATACATTCTGGCGTCCACCGCTAGGGGTGCCGTGTAGTTTCGGCACACACTGCTGCAGCGTCAAGCGCTAGCGAGCATTACCATGACAAGTTGGTAGTTGGAGCACGGGCTGCCAACTTCTGGAGAATTCCCCGAATCCGGGAAAATTGGTTTTTCCGTTTAAGCTACGGGATTTCAGAATTTTGAACTTTACCCATATTAAACGGGATTTCAGAATTTTGAACTTTACCCATATTAAAAAGTAGGTCTGATACGTTTGTTAGGGTGGTAGTGCTGGTAGCAGACAGTGAGTCCATGTCGGCAGCGAATCGTTGAACACTGAGCACACACTAGCGGCACATCACAGAACCTTTGTTTGTCAAGTCTATATTTAATTTGTCTATGCTATTACTATTCAAAACGTGTATTTATTGGGAAAAGAAAAACACATTTGGCATAAGAGTTCATTTAGGAATATGGGACAAAAGCACAACTTATCATTTTTGAAAAAGTTCCAGGCAGATAATAGGATCGTGCCACTAAAAATTAAAGAATACTTTTGGATAACCTGTAGATAGTTATTTTTTTATACAAAGAAGTAGTAGATTATGCAAGTTAATACATAACATATCTGATGCTTGAAACCCCCTCAGTAATGCTCATAACCACGATATCAGGATTCTTTTACTTGGAACAACTCATTTCTGGTGTGTAGAAGATAACAGTAGTCTGTTGTAATAAGAAAATCACATTGTTCTGTTATGCCAACAGAAGTGCTCACTGGAGAGATGGCTGCTGCCACCCACTTCACCGTGGGTTTACTGGCTGGAGCATTGGCATCTCTGGTGACACAACCGGCCGATGTCATCAAGACCAAGATGCAGTTGGATCCACAGCAGTACAAGAGTATTCCGAATGTGGTGGTACTAGTTTATCAGGTGTGTACAAGGAAAAATTCCTTATCCCATAAAATAAAAGAAAAACCTAGTTTGTAGTTTCTCAAATATGTTACGATCAAATACTATTGTGTTATGGTTTTTTATTTTAACACTTTTGATTATTTTCATGATGAGATAGTCTTCAAGATTGTTAAAATGAACCAAAATCTATTAAATGTAAGACTAAAAACATTAAAAAATGTACAGTAATTATAGTCCGAAATTGAAGAATAATATGGAATAATATATTCACAAGCTCAAAAACATTATGTTTGTTCAGTACCTGTTTCGGTGTTGGAACACCGTTGTTAGTTTCAGGTACTTGTGGAGTTGTTCAGTTAGAAACCTTGTTCTGTAGGATGAACATGATACTCACACGCTCAAACAAAACTTACAATGAACAATATACATTAAAAAGACAGGCATTGACATTAAAATTACAGGCCTTTTGTTACAATAAAGACAGTGCACATTGATAGCCTGGGACAGACATCTATCTATATATTAATAGGCAAGCATGTTTCTTTAAAACCTTTTTTCTCAGCTCGTGTGCATTGTAGGGACAATCTACGGATACTGTTAGAAAGCTATTTTCCTGTAGGTGTGCAGAATCCATTTATAAATTAAAATAGGCTCAAAGATAAGCACAAAAAATTTATTTGAAATCAACAAAAAATTAACATGGTCTTTATGGGTTACCATGCTGGTGACGAAATAACAACAAAATATAAACAGAAAATCTAAACAAATGTAAGACACTCCAATCATATGTTTTATTTACAGTGTGGGGTGAAAATAGAGAAGTATGTACAGTACAATTGGATTTTTTTAGCTAAAAGCGGTTAAGCTGTGGTGGAATCACTGAGCTATAATTCTAACTGGAGGTAGCACTGAATGTCAAAGATGTGTGTCGCCAGCCGCCATGTTTGCGTGAGGTGGGTGTCCATAAGAAGCCATGTTATTGCTATGACAAAAAAACTCACTGATATACCAACCTAGTTCTAAGAAGCCATGTTATTGCTATGATAAGAAAACCAACTGCTATACCAACCTAACAAAATCAGCGACTCGCTTTTGACAGACTTCTGCCATGGCAGTGCTACCTCCAGTTATAATTTTAGCTCAGTGGGTGGAATACCTTTGAAGATGAACCTTTTTAATGCTATCATGTGTTTATTACGTGTCAAATTTTGAAGTTAAATCAAAACAATCAGACTGGCATAATATATTCTTGGAATTTGACAATAGTTAAATATACTTACTCTACTTTAATAAAACCACTTTGTCATTAGAGAATATTTACTGTGAAATAGAGACATGTATACTAATTCCAAATCAACTAATGCATAAATTTTTATTTAATTATTGCCTTCAAATTAAGTGATGGTTGCTTTGAATAATTTAACATGAACAGATATTAAAATATTGAATCTTCTTGAAAAATTATTTTTGATCATTATATTAATAGAATAATGTAGTTGCTGTAACTGGGATACGCATGATAAACTGTTGGGACATAAAAATGATTTACGATTTGGAAAACGTTGTAGGATAGGCCAATGAAGCAACTTACATTCGAGTTTGGTTTATAAAATGCAGTAGCCTAACAACCAACGATACACTATGTAGTTACTGTATGTAGTTACTGAATGTTTTCTAATAAATCAGACAATGATGTATACTAAATTAAATTATTTGATCTTAAATGAAATTTCTTTCGTAAGTAATACAACATTGTCCCTAATTGACAACATTCCAGTTTGTTTGTTTTTATTTAACCTCAAAAATTGACATGGCAACATTGAACACATGATCGCACCATCGATGTATATAACCTAACACCTTAGACATTCCATCCCCATGTTAAAGTTGTAGTGTAGCCAGGTTTTTAATGAAATTTGTCTTAGTTGTTGTGAGCCACCGACAGATTGTGCTGATCTAAATTACTGATTTCTGTTGAATACACGATGGTTTTTACCAAGTCAAACTGATGGAAATACTTATTATGAGCTATAGCAAACTGTAATAATGACCCATCAACTATGTAAGTAATAAAAAATAAGGTAGACAATAGAATTTTAGACACTAGCACATTCTGTGACTGGCTCACACAACTACATTCTTTGTTAGTAAAAAATTGGCGATGGCTGATCCATATAAATGGGATGTCTTCTTCTGTATCCAATAGTCAATTCTAACATCAGCAATGTTATTACTATCTATTATTATACTATCTATATTACCGTACTGCTATGGATCACACTCACTACAGCCTATAGCCAAAAAAGTTTATCCGCAAAGATATTCCACCATACCTCAACCGCTTCTAGCTAAAAAATCCAACCGTACATATATATGGTCGAGTTTTCGACCACTGGACGACCTCTAGTAATATTTATTGCTATAATAGGCCTGTTTGTAAATTGTAATGTAATTTTTTATCAATTGCGGGTACTGTTTGCATCCCGCATAGGAGGGGAGATTTTATGTTATTTTAAGGCAGTATCTTATCAATCATACTTATTTACTTGTTTATTATAATGCCGATGTGTTGCAGAAATACGGTGTCTGTGGTTACTTCAAGGGGTTGATTCCTAGAATGTTACGTAGGACTTTGATAGCTGCAATGGCCTGGACTATTTACGAACAGGTATGCATTTAACGCTTACTATAAATCGAAGTTTTTCCTCTATTGTCATCTAAAACAAAATATAAACTATCCAAACCAATTAGGTAAATTGTTTGTGATTCAATAATCTAATTTAAATACAAGCCTAACACTGATGGTGATGTTTCAGTTGACTCAGTCCATTGGTCTGAAATGAAAAGAAATATAGAAGAATTCACCATTCTGGAAACGTTTGGTGTGTAGATGAATTACCTACTGCAACAGTCGGAGTCCCAGTTGCATATTAATTCTCCGCCGTTCCATAGTAGTAACAAGAACATCACCTGTTACGTAAACATATGTTGTAAGACAGCAGCCCAGAACACATATCAGTCCAAAGTCCAAAGTCAGTGACTAACACGTCTTAGGTTTAGGCGTTAAGTTAAGTGCAGTTCTGATTGGATGTTAACCTGTCATTGAAGAGTTGAATTAGTACCGATAGGGGAAATAACCAGCCAAGCATAATACTGCTAGACTAATCGTAATAAACATTTAAAGCTGAGAGTTAAAATGTTGATTCAAACCACTGTGCTGTAATGAATATCTGGAGGTAGCACTTCTCGAGGGAATTTTGTGCCGCTGACGGCCAAATGGTCGTCCTGGGATGGAATATGTCGAAGTGGAAAAATGTAAATCCAACCGTATGAAAATTTGTTAAAATCACATTGATTTATGTAACTTATGTGTTAACTTTGCAAACAAACAATTGATTTTATTTGAAGTTAGACAAAACAAGGGATAGAGCAACACAACTTATTTAATTAATAATGCTGATTGAAAAACTGAATTAAGTATTTACACACTCTGGACTAGGACACCATCACTTTACAAACCAGCTCGTGTGAAGTATTCAAACTCTAAACTAGTGTTCCTTCCTGCAGTTGCAATCACCACCCTTTTATGTTGTCCACAACAACTGTTAACTTCTTCAATTTTTATGGTAGTTAAAACCATAGAGTTTTTTTAGCTCTTTGTACATCAGAAAATATATTGCTGAACTGTAGTTTTGGATAATAGACGAATCACTCTAGATAGTGTAGATGAAATTGTTTCAATTTTGATTATGTGGTGTGATAATTAATAATTATTTTTTTAGTTTTCAAATTGTTACTTAGTTTAAATTACTTAAGTTTGGTCTACCGAGGATTAACTTCTTGAAACCTTTATGAAGTTAGTAAACTACTTAAGTGCCTTGGAGAAATTTATTCTTGAAGGCCTAGATGTCTGAATAATCACACCATTTAAAAGCTCTTAAAAAGATTAATTTTCTCATATAAACACAGTTAATTACTGGGCGGCAGTCTTGAGTTTAAATATTGTTATACTCCGTTCACAAAATGTATGCGGTTTTAGGGGAAGAAATCTATCTTCTCCACGAATTGATCGTATAATTAAAACAATAGCTCAACAGCTGAAATTTTGAAGCAGAAAAAAGTGGTGGGGGGACTTCCTCTCAAACTGCCTACATATTGTGAACAGAGTATAGTATTGTACAAATATATAACAAACAAAGCTATATAGATGAATCAGCTGTGATATGTACTTTTTAACAATTATGTTCATTGCATAAAGTAATTTGTTTTCATTCGATTTAAAACACATTTTTGTGTAAACTATAAATAAAAATTTACTTTAAAATATAATATATCTAAATATGCCTAGTTATTTAGTATTTGGAATTAGTATTAAAATGACTTAAGATGGAACTGTAGTTTTAAGTTCCATTACATATTTTACTTAGAGTTTTAGCAGTATTTATTTAGAGCCTAATCAAAATGTAACGTTTAGTGATTCTTTTAATAGCTACCCTATTCGTCATAGCTTAAAAGAAAAAATTATTAGTTTATAATCAACACTAATGTCACTGATGTTGGTTGATTAACATGATCATTGTAATTATTTTTATAAAAGTAAAGACCAATGTATTTTGTATTTAACTAAACTTTTGATAAGTCTCTACGGTGTAAAAACTTTGTCTTTCACACAAAAACAGGCTAGTGTTTTAAAGTGTAGTTGTATTTATTTTGCCAAAGATATGTTATTTTAGTTTTAAGTGTTGTTATGTTTTAAGATTAAATGTTATAGGTGATGGAACCTAGATCGAGAATAGAGGTTGTGATGGTAGTAATTGGTTTTCATGGAAAACAATGCTGCTCAAATATGATAACAGAAAATTGTGAGTGAAAGTTTACAAGTGGATCAACAATATTGATGTTGTGAAACTTTATCATTCTTTGTTTTCTTCCCTTGAGAAGAGCTCGTGAAACACTCATTAGTTGGACGTTGACACATTTATTTTAAACCTCTGAGTTAGCTATAAAATAGCACTGAAATAATCTCAAAATTTTTACAAGCTTATCAGTTTTAAAATTGTTTGTATGTTGACCAAAGGTTTTTTTATTTGTTACCAGTTACCACAAATACAGGGTGCGCCAAAATAACCGGTTTTAATACTAAATAGCTCAATAACAAAATACAATTTTATGTATTATATTGTACACACTACTATGCCATTTTCATTTGTAAACAATTATATCACTTAGGTCCTAAACGTAGGTTTCCGATTTTTTTGCATATTTGGAGTCACCTTTGCCTTTTGAATAGAAGCAATCTCTTCCTGGAGTTCAGGGAAGGTTAAAAATTTCAAAACAAACACTTTGCTCTTTAAGTAGCCCCACAGTCAACAGTCACACAAAATTAAGTCTTACCAAACCAAGAGATCACTTTACTGGGAAAAAGTTCACACAAAACTGTCATTGAATAATTGGCAGTGTGACAAATTGCGCCGTCCTGTTGAAACCATGTGTTGTTCATGTCTATCCCTCCTAACATTCACAGTTGTGGAACCAAAACCCCCTCAGTATTGCCACATAGCGTTGATATATTACAGCGACAGGGGGGTGTTCCCCCTTTTGTCAAAAACATATGGTCCAATGACTCAAAACCGTGCCACACCACCACTAGACAGTAACTTTCTTTCAACGAAGTGATATTTTACCAAACATAACCTAAAAATGGCATAACATAAGCAATCGTTCACTACATAAATGAGGTCTCTAGCTTGTATAACAGCTGACTTATTACAAAACAGAAACCGCCAGGTTTTTTTGGCGCACCCTTTCCATACCTAAATTAACTTTTATTTTGCTTATTTCAACATTATTGGATATTTCATCCTGAAAATATTATCTTAAAACTCAAGGGCTTGTATACCTTTTCTTAGTGATAAATTTAATCTCCAGTGGCCTTTTGAATTGAAGTAATATCTAGAGATTGTTGATTACTGTTTTGTTGGAGTTGCATATAAGACTGCATGTATCGATTTCATATTTTGTAAATAAATGTTTTGTTTTAAACTTGATCTTTTTTCAACCATATAAAACGGTAACAAAACCAAACCAATCATATACTCAATTCCCTCAATTCCACGTTCACCGTGCAGTACAGGTCTTATGGAAGATAACCTTTCTACTACTACAGTAGACTCCCTCTTATCCGGACTCCTTGGGACCGAGGCCAGTCCGTATAACGGGTAATTTCCTGTTAAACCGACGCCCTCAAAACTCGTTAAAACGTTTAAATGCGTACTGTATACAGTATTTTACTTAAATTTAGGAGAGCATTGTATTTAGACACGTGATCACTGGTCTCAAATCTTTCCCACAAGAACAGTTGTTTCAGTACCGCACACTTCCTAGTCCGGTTAAACCGATGTGCTGATAACAATTGTCCGGTTAAAGAGATGTCATTACCGCCAAGTGTAGTCTGGTTAAACCGATGTCAGGTAATTTCTGTGTTGTTATGGTATTTATCAAGATAGGCCATTAATTTGACTTATAATTATAATTTTTCTTTAACCCTATTTCGGGCATTTGTCAATTTTTTGACGTTAGAAATTGAAGTGTGATCTGGCAGCATCAAAAAATTGACATTTAGAACAAGGTGTGTTTCAACTTAATTTTTCGACCAGTAAACTCTCTTAAATTGCAATAAAACTTCTACAGTACTACTAGGGGTTGGTGAATTGTAATAGGACTATAGAAAAACTTTGTAAAAACATATTGTTTTAGGCTGAATACAAAACTGTCATGGTTGATATATCACAAATACTTATCAAATAAATGTATGTATAAAAATACAAATGAGAAATAAAAAACAGACGTACTAAGCACATTATAATTTATTGATGACAAATTTAAATGAACTAAAGGTACAATATTTACAAAAATTCACTTAAAACTAATCACAAAAATACTGGTCAAAACCGGTTGTAGACAAAACTTAAAAAAGAAAGTGATCGGAACATAAGTATAGCAAGAAAATCAGTTGTCTAAATAAACTAATTAGTAAAAATAGTAAATACTAACTAAATATAAAATAAAAACCTTTTAATAAATAGTGTATACTGTCTTCAGTCCAAAACCTGAGTATTCAAAATTTCATTATGACTAATGTGATTTACGAGGAATTATTATATACAAACAAAGACAACAAAGAGGTAGTACCTATAATGTCAACATGTGAGATCATTATGTCCATAGAGCTGCATAACGTGAGGATGCATTGGTGCGTACAAGACCAACTTTCATTCGATATTTAATAAGTTATATTCTTTGTGATAACTAACTACATGGTAAGGCTAGTGAGTTTTACGTTACAAATATCCAGCAGAGAGCACATTTTTATCCAAGCTCATTGAACAAATGACCTTACATCAGCTGACTTTACATACACTATAACAATAAGAGGTGATCGATTAAAAGTTGTTACAAAGGTGTAAAAATACCAGATTGAAGTATTGTAGCATAAAATATCACCAGAAATCTAAGAGTGGCTGCTGGTAAATAAAGCTTTTTACGCCACACTAGACTGTTTTGACAAACTTCCCACAAAAGGATTTAGTTCTGAAAACAGCTGTTTGCCGCCAGCTTAACCAAATGTAGTTTACCGGACACCAACCAGCTGATATACTGTATTTGGAGATGAGTGGATGTAAACAAAAACATAACCTCTCTTAGAGGTTAAGACTAGTGATTGTTAGTCCTTTATTTGGTGGTATATAGGCTAAGGATTTGTACAGATTTATTAGTATGGCGTAAACTATCGTACGTCACTCGTCCAAAATGTGTTTACCAGAATCGTATGGTAATCCCGTTTTCGACTTCGTCTTGCACGGGAACAACCACACTCGTCTGGTTAACACTTATTTTCCAGGACTAGTAACGTAATATACTAGAACATTGAGTTTTAATAAAAAAAAGCTAAAATATTTTTACAAAATATCTTCAACACTGTAAACCTGCAGATTATTCAAACAATATCGGAGAAATAAAGTTTATACTTGAATTATTCAGTATAAGTAACATATGGGCCCCCATCAAGTGCTTGAATTTGCTGTGTTCAAAAATTGTTGTTTTGGTTGCAACCAAAGGACTACAAAAAAACAAATATATTTTCAAAGCTTTAAAGACATATATGCAAAACAAACGATCAACGTGATTAATTTTTCCTCCATAATTGTCAAATAGAATTGGTTTTTTCCGTTTGTATAACATCAAAATTTGACTTATCAATTTTTAATATTTAAAATATTCGACTTAGAGTGGTATTTTTAACATTTTGATTTACTGCGGTTTTGAGAGGATTATGAAAAATTCCAGATATTAAGGTATGAGGTACTATACTATTAAGGTACTATACTCATATTTAAACACGGTAGTCGCATGTGACCATATTAAATATGGTCACTAGTGTTGCCACGATCACGGGAGATGATCGCGGTATCGCAGAGGCCGCAATATAAAGTTAAGAGTATTGCCTTGAACTTGGGAGATGATCACGGTTTCACAGAGACGGCAAGAAATGGCAACGAGTGTTACGGCTATCGCGGGAAACTATTACTAAGATCACCAGAACACATCAAATGAACGAATACAATATCTCTTTTGAATTACAACAATACCATAAGTATACATATTAGAAGCATATTTGTGTAGAATAGACTGTTGTTTTGAGCACAAGTATAAATAAACAACTTTAGGACTAATAGAGCTGTGATTAATTTAGAAGCAGTGATAATCAGTTAACTAAAAATGAGTCATCCAGTCAATCCCCAGAAAAAAGTTTAAACGGATGGATAAATATACATTAATCAACTTTCTCAAGCATAGGGTATCCCAATGTTAGATATACTATGTTGTACTTTGTACTGTATTGTCCATCCAATTAAAACATTTCTTAAGCTTTTAAAAACCAACAAAATTTAAACAAAACTAATATAGTCACCAACAATTTTGGAATACAATTTCATTACGATACCCAACCGGTGTCCAAGTATAGAGTATATTGTTTCAATAGTATATTAACAAAGCTTTTTTTTATGACTTGACAACAATCTATGTTTACAATTAAAAGTGACATAAAGCTATGTTGATCAAGTAATTAATTTAAGCACTACTGCTACCTATACGCAATTAAATTTCTACATACGGTACACACATTTGTACATCATTTGTATATACATTGAAAATATTATATTCTAAACCATAAATAAAAAAATATAGGGTACCATGGCATGTAATAACAAATTATTATTCCTGTATGATTAAAAAACATTGACTTGTACTATCATTTGTAAACCAAACCAAAAGATCCGTGCATAAAACTAAAACAAATCAAAACACATAAAAAAGGACACGATAAAACATCACAATATTACTTTAATTTCAAAGTTTGTTTCCTTGTTAAATCAGAAACTCTTGCAGAGCAAACAGTGCTTGGGCTCATCCAAGCATAAATCATTGATCAAAATCACTTTATCACAGTCAAGAGACTAAAAAACTAAACCGGTTTTCTTCAGGCATTGAAAATTTCCAAAATGTCTGCTAAACTTAGCACAATGAAGTTGTTTATGTTAGAAAGTGCATTGCACTAGTAGAATACTTATCAACGTTTAATAATTGGAGATCTTTCTGAAACTAAAACTATACAACCACTTTTGACTTTATAATTAGGATTTTTTTTCTTTCTTTTAATGTTTTAATTGAAATGCTGACCATACAAAGATAGGTATTTTAAGCCAAGTATGAATCGAGATGAGTGTAGGGTGAGGATCTAGTAGGGTGTGTCTTGTTACTAAGGCCGACATGTTCCTTAGACAGGACTGTTAGTTTAGCCCATACAGCGAATGACAACTAAGGGACCTATAGTTTATAGTGGAATCCGAACCACATTTTTTCCATGTAATTTAGAATTGGAAAAGTATGGAGAACTACACATACAAAATAGGCTATGCACCATAAAATGTTCTTCCACCTTCTTATGTTTTTCAATAAACCCTCAATTAACAGATAGGACAGAAGTTTTTAGGGAGGGTTTCCACTTATGGGATTGTCATCCCAAAAACAGGATTTTTACATAATGCTTGGGATTAAAAAGGTATGATGTATATAACGGGATGCAGGATAAAACAGGATTTTCAGTACTGATCTTTTTTTTATACCGTTTTCCAGATTAAAACTAACCCCAATTGATTAAATTATTATAGCACAGCATTGTATCAAGGTTTAAAGAGCTTCTAAGACAGGCTCATGATAAAGATCACTCTAGTTAGAACAAAAATTCATGCGGGAACGGATAGAACTGGAGTTTTCATTACAGTGGGATAAAGCGGGATTTTCTTGGCCATGTAAGCGGGATTTTGTTTTTGCTCATGTGGAGGGACACTGTTTCCAGGTTATTATATTTTATTTTAAAATCAATTTTTTCAACCGATGTGATAAATTTAACTTGTAAGTAATTAATAATTTCCTAAAACATAAATATTATCTTTAAAATCTTGTATTTGTATTTACTATAGATAATAATCTACTTACGTATGCCAGTAGGTGTCAATTGTAGATAATTATGCTGTACATGTTTCAAGCCCAGTACGGCTCATCTTCAGCAGCATTCTTGTATATAAAAATATTTCACATCGAGAGATGATTGTCGACTATTTACATATACACACAAACACAGAACATTCTAGCATGCTATTTACACGTATTTTCGTAGCGTACGCTCGTTTAAGTAAAACTCGACCGGACAACATTTGTAGGCCTACTGAGGAACACGGACACGGGAGGGGGAGAGTGACGTTACGGTATCAGCTGACTGGTGGTTCTTATTTCCAGTTTTGTTATCTACATTGTAATACAGCTGATAGGTGATCTTGTCCGAATATTCCTCTCTCATATTTAACATGGTTTCATTGCCGTGTTCTTTCATATGTTGGTAAATAAATAATTCCTCCCATACTTTGGCTTTGTTTTTGTGGCTACAACTTTTCAAAATACTTAATGATTTTTCAAATTCGATTTTATGACCTATATTATCCTTGAGATGTTGTGCAACAATCGATGTAGGGTTATTTTGTTTGGAGGCATTATGTTCCTTAAATCTCTGAGAAAACGACCTATTTGTGTACTCTGCTCTCTCTACTGTAATCTCTCGATGTGAAATATTTTTATATACAAGAATGCTGCTGAAGATGAGCCGTACTGGGCTTGAAACATGTACAGCATAATTATCTACAATTGACACCTACTGCCATACGTAAGTAGATTATTATCTATAATAAACATATTAATGGTGTCAAGGCTGAATAATTTGATTTGTATTTACATAAAATATCTAGGTTACGTTGTTTTTTCTTATATGCAAACTCAAGTTCATGTATGCTGAGCTATGCTATTTTGTAATAGTTTACATCATATAATTTATAATGGGTACAAACAAAATGAAACTACTAAACTTTAAAGATTCAACGGATATAAAATATAAAAAAATGGGTTTAAACCGAAACATAAAAACACTTCATTCACAAGTCAAATCTTCATTAATAATCTGATTGAAAACAATTCACTAACTATTATTAAAAGATAAACTAAAATTAATGTGAGCAGTTAAAAATTAGAACTTTGTATAAAAGTAATACTTGGTCAAATAACTTTTATTCTTCTATGACAAGACAAAATACATAACTTACATCCACACCAAACTAGCCAGCTGTTATAATACTTTGATACTGATCAATTAAATATGCCAGCTAATCAAAGGTGAGCACTAGATAGTAACAAGCAAGACCACGGTTACCACTGTAGCCTAACAACTATATTTTTTAATGCCAATGGCATAGAAAAACGCAAAAATTAAACCAAAATATATTTGTACTAAATCATACTCATGTCTTTTACTTAATACCTGAAATACAAAAATACGTCAAGTAACACTCGCCTATTGGGTCTTATGATGATTGGAGTGTCCAATTGAAATCAACCACCACTTACCATCTTTTTTATATATTTACCGTCTTGTGAGTAAACAGTAATATATAAGTGTAAATATATGTATTATCACAAGTGTTATTTGACGTAATTTTATACTTTCAGGTAATTTAAAAACACGTACGATGCTGATCAAGAAGTTATTTTACTTAATAAGCATATTTAAATCATCTGTATTACCGTAATGAGAAAAATCAGAAAACAAATATAGCCTACTCATAGTACGTTAATTCGGTTAACATAAGCTGTATTCTTATGTTCCTATACTCTTCAAAAACACTATTAAAGGCATTCTTCTCTGCACCTGTACAGTGAAGTGTTGGACAGACCTAATGTATGGTCATCATAAGTAAACCTACATAACAGTGGTCCTTGCAGAGTGCATTGGATATATGTCGCTATATATTATGCAATACATTAAATTACTCTAGTCTAGACACGGTAGCTACCACACATAGCGACAAAACACTGACTAAGTTATACATAGATACACAGACACATGTTTACCTTACAATGTTGCGGTGTTTACGTCACAGCTGCCATCAGAGCATTGGGTTGTTGGAGGTGGACTTCCGCAGGTTGCTGAAGTATGGAATTGTTGAGAGGTAGCATTGGCAAGCTGGCCTGGGTCGCTACATTCACCATGTGAGACTGCCTCGGAGGCTGCTGCTGCTGCTGCTGATGAGGTAAGGAGACGTGGTTCATCTCAGTCAGTTCGCTCTTCATAATTTCTTTCAACATGAACGGGTTTACTTTTTCGTCATATTGGTCCTGAGAGTTGGGTGTCTGGATGACATGTGCGGTCATATCCGAGGTCTCTCCTTTTATGATCTGCTTCAACATAAAACTGCTGTTCTTATTGTCAAAGGCTTTATCAAACTGTTGAGCACTGTACTGCTTGGCGTTCGTGTGGCTTCTGCGGTGAGAGACCAGATGGCCCTTACACATAAAGTCCTTAGGACACAGGTCACATTGGAAGGGGCGCTCGTGAGGGAGGCCTTTCTGGTGGGATCGCTGATGGAAAAGTAGATTACCCTTCAGAGGGAATGACTTGCCGCACTCACCACAGATGTACGGTCGATCTCTCGGATGTGTCAACATATGTTCCACAAGATTTTCCTTGGTTGCAAAGGGAGCACTGCAGATAATACAGTTGAACTCTTCGCCACTCGCATGCTGTCTAACGTGTCTCTTGAGATGCTCTTTCCTCGTGAACGTCCGGTTACAGAACTCGCAGTTATGCGGGGACTCTCCAGTGTGTATACGGATGTGGTTCGTCAGATGTTCTTTCCTCGTGAAACTCTTAGTGCAGAAGTGGCATCGATGCGGCGACTCGCCTGTGTGTTGACGGATATGATTAGTCAAGTGTTCTTTCCTCGTAAAACTTTTGTTACAGAAACTACACTTATGCGGTGACTCACCAGTGTGACGGCGAACGTGGTTCACCAGGTGATCCTTGCGAGTGAAGGCCTTCGGACAGAACTGGCAAGGGAACGGAGTCTCACCAGTGTGCTGTCGCTCGTGATAGACCATATGATCTTTGCGGGTGAAACTCTTGGAGCAGAAGTTGCACTGGTGCGGTGACTCGCCCGTGTGCTGCCTCGTGTGATTCACTAAGTGTTCACGCCGAGTGAACGTCTTTGGGCAGAAGTCGCAGCGATGGGGTGTTTCACCGGTGTGCCACATCACATGATTTTTGTAGTGGTCCTTGCGCGAGAAATATTTCCCACAGGTTTCACAACGGAATGGCGTAGCCTCCTCAAACTGTGGTTGCAGCTGTTGCATAGACTCCGGCCCCGTCACTGCTCGCACCCTTCAACAGAATCGACACCTGGACATAGAGAAATATAACACTTGAAGTCTACTAAACTCACAAACACAACAGTTCAGTAAGTTACCTAGAAGTGACATATAATAAATCAACAGTTTTTTGGCAATTTACACTTAAAATCCCTTTTAAACTTCTGGAATATAAAACTATACCTTACATTAAACGGTAACACCATATACAAATAGAATAAATATAGACCGGCAGCATTGCTGCGGTTAGCATATGTTCCAGCGCACACCGCTAGGAGTGCCGTGTAGCTACGGCGCAGACCGCTGTAGCGTCTGCTGGTAGCATACGGCTCCTGCGCTCCTCGCCTGCAGCGGTGTGCGCCGTAACTACACGGCACTCCTAGCAGTGGGCGGTGGAACCTTCCTTTGACAGTCTATATTTATTCTATTTGTCTTTGGTAGCACCTAATAATAACTAAACCTTTTTCATAATCTAGTTATCACTGAGCCTAAGCACAGTCAATTATTTTGTTGTACCGTAAAGTAGTAAGTGTAGACTGAGGGGGGAGGTAGCTTCGTCGACAGCAAAGCTTTGTTGTAGTCTATTGAAAAACTTGTGGAAAGCAACTGTGCAGTGTGGCAAAGGGTCGCCGGAATTTAATCCCCCTGGAATTTTACCCCCTGGGCAAAGCTGACGTCACTATGACATAGCAACCTGAGCGCTCAAAAGTTTGTTCGCGGGCGTAATTTTACCCCCGCGGATTTGGAAGTCTAATGAAAATAGACAGAGCGTGATTAATTAGATTAGCAATAAAAACCGGAATTTTACCCCCTGTCCATATAACTAGCGTTTAGACAACTGAAAATGTACTGGCCGGATTTTTACCCCCTGGCCGGATATAGAAATTATAAAAAATGATTGATTTTCCTATTTCTGTTTTTTATTTAATTGTAAACATTTTATTGCAGCCTTTTTTTGTAATCTCTTCTAAGTAAACATAATTCGCTGTTTAATTTTGATGTTCGGGATTTGCGTTTGGGGCCAAATGTTGGTTAATAAGTATGTAAAATAAACTGAGTAGCTTATTTAAATGATAATTGGGTGAACATTTCTTCGTAAGGAAACAATAAGGCTTTTTAGCGAATTTCCCTATAGCAGGGTGTCCACAGAAATTTTGTCTTTAATTTCCCTGACTTTCCATGACTATCCATGACCATTAACCATTGATTTCCATGACTCACGAACTTAACTCAAAAATTATAATATACCATATACACACGAATAATACTGCCTAGACAAGTTATTTCACAGAAAATATTGAAATATGTAATAACAGATAACAATGGTGTACAATAGGTACAACAATGAACTAATACAAACTCAAAACCCATAAACTAAGACAACTGTATAAATTGAAATTGTCGTACATTTGTGAAAAATTCGGAAAATGCTACAATAGTTGGAGTTACGACCGACTAGAGCATTGAAAGGTCCCCTGGAATCCATCCATCATTGGGGATTTCCATGACTTTCCATGACTTTTTGCCTATTTCCATGACTTTCAATGACCAGAATTTTTTTCCATGACTTTCCATGACTATCCCTGACTTTCCAGAATGTGGACACCCTGCTATAGGGAAGTAGCTATTACCATAGGTAGCATGGTAAGACCTAGGCCCGGGACTGATTTACTTTTTCATTTTGATGTCCCCAGAGGCTAAAAACACCATTCGTTCAAATTTTTATATATGTATATACAGGGTTAGTAAAAAGTGAGAGACCCCCTGTTATTTTTTTAACGGCCCATACTAGAAAAAATAAACTCAGCACACCATAATGGCATGTTATGAAGTACTTTTTGGGCATAACCACCACTTGGTGTACATCTTCAAAATAGGGGATTTTGGGGTAAACTCAAAAATTTTAAACACAAAGACCCATTGAGTGACCCCTTATTTTGAAGGTCCTGGTAAAAGAAAACCAACAACGCAAACTAGAGGTCTCCATCTCAATCCAGTAAAAAATGGCAGCCAATTGAAATTCTCAGAAGTTAAATTTAACTTACAGCTTTCCAAGTCTGGAGACACTGTGTAAATTTTGTAACGGCTCGCACTAGGAAAACTAAACTCTACACACCTTTTTGGCATGTTATGAAGTACTTTTTAAGCCTAATAATAGCCACTTGGTTCTCAAACTCAAAATGGGGGATTTTGGGGGAAACTCAAAAATTTTAAACGATAAGCCCCATCGAGTGACCCCTCATTTTGAAGGTCATAATAAAAGAAAACTAACAACGCAAACTAGAGATCTCTATCTTAACACAGTAAAATATGGCAGCCAATTGAATATAAAATTGAAAGTTTTCTGATTTCTAAAGATTTCAATCAGCTTCCATTTTTTACTGGATTTACATAGAAACCTCTGGTTTGCGTTGTTAGTTTTCTTTTACCAGGACCTTCAAAATGAGGGTCACTCGATGGGGCTTATCTTTTAAGTTTTTTGGGTTGGCATATAAGTATAAAATGCTTATTGCAGTTATACACAAGCTTTGCGTTTGCAATGGGGGAAGGCACAGTTTGGTAAAATTTGCTTCTTTAAATTTACGGTATACTATAGTATTACACATCTACCATAGCCATAATGTTCTACCACTTCACCTAAACAATAGAGAAAAATAAATTAATTAAAAATTCACAAAATATCACAAATTATTCATGAAATTAAAAACATAAACATACTGTAAACAATCCTACTTTGACAGTTCACATTGCGTATCACAGTTTTTTGTTGCTGCTTATTTCAAATTAGCTGTTTTCATTTAAATGCAAAAATAATATAGTGCTGCACTCTGTTGGTAAATCTTATAAATTGTTAATGCTTTTGCGTATCATAGAACCAACCTTTTTAGTTGAAACAGCTGACCAATTTCTTTAATTCCCTTTAAATATGAAGAATACTCATTAGGTTAACATGGGGAACTACTACAGAGCCACTGGGGCAGAGCCCGAAAGGATTTTTGAAATAAGAATATGCCTATATGTAAATCAGGATTGTGAGCTATCATCATGCCAAATTTCAGCCCAATCCGTCCAGTAGTTAATGTGTGATTGAACTTCAAACAAACACACAAACTTTCACATTTATAATATTAGTAAGATATATGTGTGTGTGTCCGTGAACACAATAACTTGGGTAATTTTTGTCTGATTTTGATGAAATTTGGTTTGAAGGTGTAAAGCGGGACAAACTTAGATGAGTTTGAGAACCAGCATGATCGGACCATGGGAACGGGGTTTTACGGGGTAAAACTTGGTTTTTCTAATTTTTGACCCTCTAAACACAACATTTCCTAATTTCTCCTCAGACTTTTTTGAAGAGTTTAGAAAAACAAATAATTTAGTACCATATCAAAGTTTTTTTGTACAATAATTGGTTACGGAGAAAATTCAAAAAATTGTAATTTTAAAATTCCCATGTTATTCTTTTGGAGAATGTTGTAAAATGTTGTAGTTTGCTTGTTTATGGATATATTTTGATCGAACTTGGTAAATTTATTTATTTGCTTAGTCGGCAGGTTTGCTGCGGCAGGGGTATTTTGTTATTGTTACAATACAAACAAAAAACATTATTTACCACACGGTTGTTTAATAAATCGTTAAAGAAATCTTCAAATCAATTACCATTCTGATGTTTGTTTTGTAACATTTACTGTAGAGAATCTGGTGACTGGGTGATACTAGCCTACTTGAAATTATTTCAGGATGACTGTGGACTAAGATAATGGAAGAGTGGTATGGATGCATGAGGATTGTGAAAAGGAAATATATAAACTTATTAACAATATCTATGAGGTTGAGAAATTAGGAAGGACTGTTAACTGTATTTTAAAGGATTTTACCCTGAGGTTGATCGTTAACACCTTAAGCCAGCTTTTGATGAGCTGTGACTTTAGCAATTTATGACAAGTAAACCTTATAACTAACCCACTACCTGACTATGAAGAATTGCATTTTTAAAAGTGCTTAAAAGTTTTTGTGTTGTGTTTCGAGTTGTGTATGCACTATTTATTAAAACTGACGCAATGAAAATGAAGAAATCCCGTGAAAAATTTAAATATAACAGTATTTAAGTTTAGTGTATGACTACACCCGACGATGGAGTAGCCTAATCTCCCAACCGGCCGTAGTGTCATAAACAATAAGGATTCCGAAGACTTACACAATATTGTACATAATATTTATTCTTAGTAGAAATTATTAGTTAACAGTAGCCTATACAAACATGTTAGGTAAGTAACTTATGTCTTACTGTTGAAAAGTTTAGTAAGAACAAAGAAATCACCGAGACCGAGAATAATGCTCCATTTCAATAAAAATGGCATCACAAGAGACTAAATAACAATTTTCCTTTACAAACACATTGTACCACAGCAACCAATAAAATATCCCTAGTTTGGTTGGGTTAGGTTAGGTTATCTATCTGACGATCTATCTATCTATCGCGATCTATCTGACATTGTCAGTCAAGGATCAAGAATACAAGTATCAAGTATCAAGTATCAAGTAAGTTAGAACAGTGTCATCTAACCTAACCAACCAAACTTCTCGAACAGCTACAAATTTGCAGTAGGCCTAGGCCTAGTTATTCTACTAAAAAAATATTTTGTCATATGACCTTAACTTTACCTTCCTAATCTAACCTGAACTTAACTTCAAAACTCTTAATGCAGTGTTTCTCGGTAATCACCTTGTAACTTAGAACACTTTTGGGGCAAACTCCTAAGTTAAGTTTCACATTGAAATTCACAATAAAACTCTGAAAATTAGTGATTAACTTAATATGGTTTCCCTAAGAATTTTGCACACTACCTTAAAAGAATAGGTTAAGTTTACTAAAGAAGGGTAGAACAAGGAACTGAACATTAAAATTAAGTTAGGCTTAGTAAGTTTACTCTTAGGATTTATTTAAAGTACCTATTAAAAGTAACTTAGTACTTGTGAGTATCAGTATAAGCATATATGTTTCAAGTATTATAAGTCGTTTCTTTTATTTACTTTCCGAATTAAAAGCTACAATACTGTAGAGAATAATAACGTATTAATACTCATTTACAGTGCCTAGAGGGTTATTGATCAAATCAATTATTCAACAAAGGACAAAATTCAGGCATGAATACATTGTTGTTTTTATTAAGGGTTTTAAATGTAAAATAAATTATTGTTAACACTATTTGGTTTGGCTATACATTAAATACATAGCACAACTATCCAGGCGTTTAAATTTTAAAGAGCTGTTTTAATTTCATAAAATGTTATGATTCAAAAGGGGTTTCCACTGATGGCGCAGACTATTTTTACTTTGAGAAACTCTAAAAACAAGTGAGCTAATCATGGCTAGGAGTGTTACTTACAAGTATTGGAAATCGTGCATTTTTTTGTCGAAACACTTTAATTCTTCGAATTATATTCATTCACTGAAATATAAAAACTTAATAGTAGTCCCTATCTGAAATAAACTCTTTTAACAGGACGCGATCAATTTCATTTCGCCATTTTGTGATTATGGGTTAGGTGATTTACATAGAGGTATCTGAACCATAGGGGAAGGAAGGATTATATGCATAAAACTGCTTTCAGTATACAGTATTACTAGCACTAGTGAATGATTTTGTGGATTTTAACATTGTCTTAAGATTTTTGGGGCCATTGAGGACATGCATCAAGGTTTCACAGCAATAATAAGCCACCACGACAACCCAACCTGCCACAAAAGGTAAAAGGTAAGAAGATTTAAGTGCGGGTTGAATCCTCCTAGGGGTTGACCCACCTCTGTACGTTCAAAAAGAAATCAATGTTTGGTTTAGAGTCGATGTCAATTATCAATTATTGAGATGGGGACAACACCTAGGTGCGTATTTTAACCCAAATAAGAGTGAAGGATGAGTGTCAAATGGAGTGTGATGATCTGTGAGCTTTGTTACTGACTAAGATCAGCGGTTCCATTAGTCAGGATCATTTATTTAAAGCCCAATGATCAGGAACAGCTATAATGCCTATAAATATCCACAATTCGTGACCTAGTAGCTGGATTACAAACAGGGGCCCATTTCATAATAAAGTACAAACTAATATTATTAGTAAATCAGCTGATCGCCCAATGCAAATCTAATGGAAATTACAAGTTGTAACTTGTAACTTGTAGTTTATTATGAAATGGGCCCCAGGACGACGCCACCCGTCCCAGTTTTGAGCACCCTGATGGTAAACATTTACCTTATAACTTTTTAATGCTATTGATATCATAGATATAGATTCAACTTGTGTAGTTGAAACAGCTGACAAAATGCTTTAATTCCTTTTAAATATGAATAGTACTCATAACGTTAACATAACATTAGAAACTCTAGAGCCACTGTGGCAGAGCCCGAAAGGATTTTTGAGATTAGAATATGTCTATATGTTAATCGGGAATGTGAGCTATCATTATACAAAATTTCAACCCAATCCGACCAGTAGTAAATGCGTGATTGAACTTAATACAAATAAACACACAAACTTTCACATTTATTAGTAAGATTAAAATAAGATACAATAAAATCATAGTTACTTCCACCGCTTACCATGATAAAGGTTGTTTACAAGTTTATGGCAGAAAGTATGTAGCCGTAGCCTACTATGTTAGTTTGCTCACGTTTGCTGATAAGTTACCGTTTATTTTATTTTTGTATGATACCAATGATGGTACTTTTACTACTTACCACGACTTACTGACATTAATTGCCACGAATGTTGACAACTTACAAACCGGCCACCGGTTATTTATGATTCCACTAATTAAAGTATTGTCGTCTTAAATAAGCTCCGTAAACCGTATTCAGGTGATTCAGTGCGGATGCTGCAGGGATCTCTGTACAACGATTAGTTTGAATTGAGTTCAGTTCGGTACAATCGAATCGAACTCGAACTCAAACTGAACTCGTAGCGGATGAAGTACACAAATCAGCAGTAAAGTTTAATAAAAAATACTATGAAATTGAAGAAATCACAAACATTGCAAATTTAGGGGAAATATTATGAGTGATAAGGAGAAAATGCCAGATAATTCAGGTGACCATGGGAATACACCAGTAAGTATTCAGTTAAATTATTTATAAAAATAAAAATCCATGTGACAGGCTTTATTTAATTTGATTAGTTTCCATTTAGTTGGTGTAAGGTGAAAAAGTGTCGACTAATTTTTAGGTTAGTATATGTGACAGACAATTATTAATAGTCCCTAACTTAGTGGAACCAAATTTTAATTTACAAATATATTGATCTCTGTAAAGATAAAATCATATACATTAAATAATTAAATTTACCAATGATTGTCTGCATACCTCATATATTCCTAGGCTACCCTTAGACTTTAAAGACCTTCCTATGTCTCAGGGGAAAAGAGTAAGTTAGGTTTTAACCAAACTAACCCTCACTGGTTTATTCATTATGCATAGATCATGTCAGTTATGATGTCCTGTACCAGGTATTGAAGAAAAGGGCTCTCAACAACACTAAGAGCCACACCAATAGACGCTATTAGTATCTATTAGTTAGTACTTAGTGGTAAGTTACCTACCCTATTAAAAGCACATAGGTATCCCACTCATCGCTGATTGACATAACTCTGTCTCAATTTATAAAACTTACACACTTATTGTGTTATAGGTGTTTATCTTAAGTCTCTTATTGTTCTCGTTCAACCTATTTTGAAGTTCCACACTAAGCCTCCATTCCTCACTCCAAGCTCTCAATAACTTAGGCTAACTTACCTATCACAGAAAAGTAACTTAGGCTATTTCCCAAATCAGAATCAGGAATATCTTAAGTTAACTCTACGACATCCATCCAGTGCTCATGCAATATCTCGTGTGCAAAATAAGTTTTGACTTTTCTTAATACCTTGTTAGAATTATTAAGTAAAGTTAATAAGTTAGGTTGCTGCTATCAGTTTGGATACAGTAGGCTATTTGCCTTATTGTTGTGATGTGTTCAGTTTTTCAGTTGCCAATTTTAATTAGCCTAGCCTAGCATACCTAAGAAATCACAATTTTGCACAATTTTTTTATGTGGGCCTACAGACCTAATTTGAGGTCATTTATTTACTTGACTTAAACCCATTGCCTGTTCTATATTACAGTCCCAAACAACAAAATACATGACTTTTTAATGCCGGTAGGCCTACTTTTAACTGAAGTCTATGTTACAAGCAACCTAATCTTTTTATTCTTTTTCGATAATAGAGATTGGTAAGTTCTTAAAGTTATTTGTTTGTTTAGAAGAGCGTTGTTGGTGACATTGAGTTTCAAGTGTCTCAGGTGATTGGTCGACTAGAGGAAGCAGTGGAGGGGAGGAGTGGGGTGACCCCTGCCCCACCCTCCCTGGGACCCCTACCTACTCGAACTGCAGAAGACATCTACACTCAACTTGAGGTAACATGTCTCCTTCATCTCCTTCATTTTTTGTGGTTTTTTTCCTCCTGATCACAGTTTAAACTATAACTAGAGGTTAAAATACCTTAATACGTCAATTTGATCAACGTCGCCGATGAGCGGCAACCTTTTAAAATAGATAAAAAATAAAGTGGTTGTCCGAAATGGCTTTAAAGTGGTTGTCCGAAATGGCTTTAAAGTGGTTGTCCGAAATGGCTTTGCCCCCTTCATTTCACTTAATCAGAGCTCAATGTAACTATTACCCCTATAGGCCTACAGTGTGATTGAAAAGAGCCGGAACGGTGATAAATATTGTTTACTATTAGCCTATAGATAAAATAATGAAACTTGGTAAGTCAATTATAGCCTACTCTTTTAAGCTATTATTACTTTTCTATCCCTTAACCCTACAATAAACCCTCAGATAATAAAAATTTGTCTTTTGCTGGGCATGCTTGAAGAGCATATTGTCATTGTAGTTAAGTTACCTCTGGCTTGACCATGTTAGTTGAACTGTGGTAGGTCTACTTAATTGTCTCTATATTACAGTGAGAGTATGTAACTTTGAAGTCAAGGTTTTAAGTTTTAAGTCTGTTATTTTTTCATCAAAATATTTTACTCACAGTTTTGATTCAAGCAGTATTCAGCAAAGTTTCTACGAATTGTGAAATCTCAAACAAAAGCTGTAGGCCTAACAAACATTTAATTTGATTTGACAGAGCCTGTTGGTGGAAGTGACTCAAGAGGATGGTAGCACGCTGCCGGAGCCTACGGGACTGTCTATGTTGGCTCTTGTGTGTCACGCAGTGTCTGTCCACGCTGGCAGTCTAGACAGAGGACAACTGCAACAGCTGAGCAACAGAGTCACCTCGGACACCAGCAAGTGGCTGTCACAGCTGTTTAGGTACAACCCCTTTAAAGAAAAATCTCCTAACATTGACTTTCTAATCCGCTTTGAACACAAATTGTCACCGCTGTAATGTAATTAGGCCTGATTGTAGGACTTGCCTGAAAAGTTACAGTTCAGTGGCTTATAGATACATAATAAAAAGTCTCCAAACATAACACTATTGTGTATCTATTTAATTTAATACTATCTATTACTCCCTGTAACTTTCCCAAAAAAACAAACTAAACTCCATATCACCTTTAAAAAGAAATACTAATCAGCCTCTTGGCTTTCTTTTAAAATATAATTGTAGGACTTTGATTTATAGGGAGATCATGGATCAGTTTAAAGAACTTTTTCATTTGCGGCAAAAGTATACATTTTTTAATCTCATAATGATCACATAGGCTAACTGTTCTGCGATTGTAATAATAAAAGTTGGCTTGGCTCAGCCTACTTTCAATAAAACACCAAGATTTCCCATTTCAGTAAAAAATACATTATTCCGATTGTTGTGCAGTCCCAATTGATTTGGATATTTTGAGTTATACAGTGGATTACATATTTCTTAAGAGGACAAACAGATATCTACCAAAAGAATAAGACTCTGAAAACCAGGGAGATGGCCTAAGCCCCAAGCCTAAGGCCCCATTGGATGACACAAAATCCAGAAGCTTTCCACAATCAAATAAAACTGAGTAAGACAGAAGAAAGAAATGGTAATTGTTAAATCTTCGAAACATGATTCTCAATTTTGTTTTACCAGATAAAAATACATTTCAATAGCACATTCTTTCCTGGAAGGGTCTAGGTCCCAAGGCGCTTCATCCGTCAGTGTCAGATAATTGCACACCTTATATGGCTGCGTCATTTTTACATAGCTAACAACCATTGGCGATTGGTGGGATAACTTGGTGACTAAATCTCCACACTCTACTGCTAGACCATCTTGCTCGACACAATCGCTTGTGAGTGAATTAACTGTTGTAAGATTTAAATTTTTTCATTTTGATTCAGAACTGCACCAGAACTAATCGGAAATTCAAAATAGAGCATTCCTTGTTCCAAGATAGTTTTTGTTCCCATATTTGTAATTGTTCCCACCAGAATATCATTCCAGGGTTCCTACAAACCTTTCTAGTGTTTGTTCTGTCTGACAGGCTAGGCGA